TAACTTGAAAGAAGTCAGCCAATGCAGATATTGTAAATATTCTCTGCGTTTGTTACGCAGAGTGGTCGGGCTCGCATCTGTTTGTCATAAACTTTGCTTCGATAATCAACTGAAAATTCATCTGAACATGTTTAAACCTGTTGCTAGAGGGCGCTCAGTAACATTTAATGACGGCACCGGTAATTTTTTTGTAAAGTACAACATAGCCAGAGACATATATAGCGTTTGTAAGTAAACAGACGCTAGTTTCAATTAAGTTCGGCGTGGAAGTACGTACTGCGTCTAGAACAGGCATTTTACCTTTCTTGAAGGCAAACCGATTGTGGCAAAGAAACAAGACAGCTTCCCGCAGAGCACGGTCATAATTATATCAACTTATAAACTACTTAGCAAAGTTGATAATAAGCAGGACAAGTTCTTCTCAGAACTAATATCTTCTAAGCAGTAGTTATTACCACATGGTGTTACCGCAAACCGAAACGATACCGATACCCCACCATGCAAAGCCTCAAATCTTATATCAACTTAAAAATAAAATCACTAAGCAAAACGATTTGATATTTGCATGACCCATTCAGCTATTGGGTCCAACTAGCTGACAAAAAGTTCTAGCGAGCGATCGCCTCTTATGAAAAATACTGAGAGAAAAACAAAAAGGTACTTAGGTAGCATAAGGACACGGTGGATATGTGTTGGTCCTATTGATAGACATTCTCTTTCAGATAGCAATTGGAGGCCTGCATACAAACCAGATGTATAGGATTGCATAGCACGTATAGTGCTGGAAAATGTCCACGTATACTAGTAACTCTTGCCCAATTAAGCCGTCTGGCGCTGCATCCCACAAGGACAATATTGCTTAATCATAATCATAATTTATGCAGGAAGGAAGCAATAAAAGCGCCGCTCTGGAAAATTCTTTGTGATTCATCGCAAAGCTTGTCCGCATAGAGAGGCAGGAGAATTAGTAACTTTCTGGAAAGTGATTCATTGTATACGTGGCTTGCCCTAATCTTTCCCTATATAAAGCTTTGCATCGCCCAAGATCTTCACGTGGAACGCTTCGCCTACTCCTCAGCACACAGATGACGCAACGTGAAAGCCCTGACCGTCAACTACGATCATGACGGGCCGAAGAGCCCCCGGTACAAACATGGGACAGCCATCTGTCCCGGAGTCCCCGTAGCGTCAAACGTGCGGCACGGTACTTCCACGCGACCGTGTTTTCCTGGACTCTTCTTCCCGTACCGTGGTGCTCAACGCCGGCATGGTTCGGCCGCTCGGCGCGGTCGGATCGTGAGGGCACCGGTGGACAGTTTATCGGGACTGCTTTCCCGATTTCGTCATCGCAGCAGCTCCACTGGTTTTCCCCTTAGTGGGGTTTGCTAATAAGATGACAGCCTCGACACTTCCTCGTCTTTTTCTCGTCTTTTGGCCCTTGGCTTCCGGAAGACCGACCTTACCACACCGCTGTCGCCCGTGCAAGGCGCTAGTCTGGGGTCGGTTGGACGGGCCTATGGGCCCCCACTTGGACGGGGTTTGGAGGGAGGTCAGTTTTTGAAAACCTGCTCTCTTCAATTCCGTGTTTGCGGGGGCCGCCATTTTATACATCGCCTCCTAAGATTGCTCAACAAAGATATGAAGACATTTGAAATAAAACAAATATATATACATGTAAATAAATATCCCCGAAAAAAAAGAAAATAAACCAATAGGCCTCTAGATATAAACATAAAATTAAAATCACGTATACTCGGATGCCTTCAAGAACGCGAAATTAACATTTCAAATGTGGTACATGAAAGTGCTGCACAACGTCCAACAATCAGTTTCATCATTTAAATACAACTTCATTGTTTTGGTTATAAACTCCAGCTTTTATATAATTATATACAGTTATGGTACGTCTACATGTACATTTGCTTGTCTTGTTTTCTCCACACATAAATATACGACCCATTTTTGTTTTGGGTAATTATAGGTTTTGATAAAATACATTACAAAAAATGAACAGGAGAATGCCGGAGGACGCAATTTACTGGTTGAACAGGTTAATTTCCTGCAAAATCAGCACAATTATTCTGTAGGCAGCTATCTCCACGCCCGTGTTTATCGCTGAGTCGACAACCTGCGAGCCCATTGTTAATTGTCGTAGTCTCTGAAAAGCCGCTTCACTCACCGGAACACAGAGAACATCCTGCTTTGCAGAAAATGCCACTTTGCAATTTCGGTTGCAAACAAATAAATTACATGCAAAAAATAAACAAATGCCACACCATCTGAAGCATAAAGAAAAATACCAATGGTCAGAAGAGGACTAACATTTTTTCAAACAAATTTGCAGGATTGTAAAGTGTTTTTCTCCCAGTTTTAATGTAAAAATGTGTTCTAGCTAAAACAGTTTTACAATTAAATTTGAGGGTACACGACGTTGAGTTGAAATTTTATTTACGATAATTGAAAACTTGCTTACGACTGAAAGTGAAACATCAAAGAATGCACATTTAACCATAGAGCAAGGAACATGACTTGAATTCGTTAGCCATAAAAGGTTAGAATCTCCCGACGGCTGGAAAATATTCTACCGCCTTGCATGACGTCATGTCACTATGCGTACAGTCAATATACAGTCAACACGGATTACGACAGTGTCCAAAAATAGACTGCTGATCAGGCTGTTTTGTAGGTATTTAAAGGCGCGGTGTGCCTTCGACAAGCTAGGTTTTCTACAGTGTCACTGGCAGCAACGGACGAAGCCCGGCCGAAGCGCCGGTTTTGGAGGGCTGAATCTGTGGTGTAGCCGTGGGATCCTCACCCAACCATGCCGTCTACTTCGAAGCACATCCAAGACGTAGACGTATGGAAATAATACTTCGCTCTGGGGTTGCTTTTGAGTAGCCCCACCAGCTTTTAGGGACAGACTCACCGGCCTGGGACCGGCTACTGCCCCGTAGACGGCCGCGCAGTCACCGGGTGACGGTGCTAGCGGTGGGCGGTGTCGGGCCCCCGGGCCCCACTTGTACAGTTTCTGGGGCGAGGGAGTGTGTTTTTTCCTGGCAACGAATTAATGTTGCCGGGTTGAACATGCTTTGTTTACAATAAACTCGCTCCGATTCTGTATTTGCGGGGGACTTTTGTTGACATCTTTCATCGAGGCAGACCGACAAGTTCGACCATAGAGCAAGAAGGTTCGACTTGTTTTGACAGCAAAATAATATTTAACAGTAACAGTAAAGACCGAAAGATTAAAACAGAGAAAACATTGACTCGTCAAAAGAAGGCATATTAAAATAATTTGGAGGTTTTTTTTAAAGCTCATAAATCCAAATTTTAATCTGTTATTATTTTAAGATCCAAATTTGCTGCAGCTAGGGATATAGGAAAGAATTGTTTAAGTAGGCCTACGTCATAATGATTAGTCGTTTTGGTAGTATTGAAATCAATGTGAATTCTGTTTTGTTTTTGACAGGATTTTTCTAATCTGCATTAGAATTCTTTGTAGTTCTCATCACAGAAATTTTCTGTATTAAGTTGAAAAATATTGTGTGTGTGTGTTTTGATGCTAAAATGAAAAGGGATTTCAACTACATGTATGTCCAGTTACTAATATGAAGTTTCCTATTTTTCAAGTTGGGCAAAGATTTTTCACACAATGCTTGGACTAAAAATACCAGATGTTCGTTGCTTGCATGCTGACTAAATGTGTTAATTTTGTACACAACACAAAAATCAAAGCAATAGTGTTAGCCATGACACAGAATTCTTTGTACACGTACAAGCTTCGCCTTTTTAATATTGCCTGAAAACTTTCAGATTTTTAAGTTGAATACTTCTTCCACTTGACACGTTGTTTATGTAATTATCTCACATATAATTTATATTTCTACAAAATGTGGACAATAACATAGAAAATATGTGATATGTTAAAAAATAATTAATAATAAAGTTTGTTTCTAGTTCACTTTTTGGACAATATGAATCAGGAACAACCGTGCTCAAAAATAAGCCCATGTGTGAAATATAATAATATGATCAACAATCAAATATAATCATAACCAAAAGAAATTATGTAAATGAAAATATGGCTTATTAGGTAACTTTTGGCTTTATTCCTGCCCGTGTTACCTTGGTACTTTTAATTTACCATTCAAGTATAATTAAGAGTAACCTCAAAACAATTTTTATATTTGTTGGGTAGGTAGTTTGCTATTCATAATCACTCTTGGAGGATGACTGCATTAAGGAGTGCATCAGAATGATAAAATCATAGATGTCAGATGTAACAGGGACAGGAAAAAAAAGTGGATCCAAATTTATAGAATGACCATATACATAGATTTATGAACTGTAAACTGAAATGGCTTTCCACAATTCATAGAAAATATTAAGTCACAGAATTAACTGTTTTGGGAGTAGTCTCTTGGCAACACTTTATAGACCGCTTGCAGACGCGATCGATAATTGACGCGCTAAGGTGAGCGACGCCATGTTCTGGGACAAAATGTGCGTGGATAGATATACGCCTGTCCCACAACATAGCGTCGCGCGCATTCGCGCGTCGATTATCGAACGCGTCTGCAAGCGGTCTATTGCCTCCATCCATACAGTGATATCTATGAATCAATGCTCGCTGGGCCCGCTGGGGGAAAAAATGGCATGAGCCATGAGACACAACTTCCTGGTAGGAAACAGTTCCGGATGTGACCACAGTTTTAAAGGTATATAGGATCGTTTGCTTTTCATGCATTTTGTTTATTTCCAATAATAACACCACTCAAAATCGAAAGAAGAATGTTCAAAACCTAACCCGTTGAAGTTTCAGCTCAGTGGATATTACACTTTAAAAAAAAAACAGTGAAAAACTGGGCACAACCTTTTGGGACAAAACAAGTTTTTGTCTGTAGCAGTCTTTATTAAAAAAAAAAACCAGTCAATTTGACTGAACTTTGGAAATCACCTACATTTTCTTAATTTCTTTGAAATGACAGTCTGACGGAATAATTTCACAGGGTGTTTAGTACCAGTACGATCTTTAATTATGCTTTTCATTAAAAATAGTTTTTGATAATAATTTGGTCGGTTACTTTTTGGATAAACGCAAATGATCCTATATGCCTTTAAAGAGCACTACACTGGGCCAGACTTCGTGGTGTAGCTGAACAGAATATAAAAACTGTCTCATTTTCTATTCTTGTGAATAAATAAATCATATTCTCGGTATTAGTAATAACAAAATGAAAATGAAATTGAAATGAGGCTGTTCATGACAGAAAACAAGGAAAACTTTATAACAACATGCCTAAAATGTTAGGAAAACAATTCCCAAAAGAGTTCGTTCATCAAAACTGTAAAAGAAAAAGTAGTAAAATGATTGAATTATTGTAACTGAAATAGATATGAAAATAAAATACCTAAAATGAACTAGAACACATAGATTAGTGACAAATGTAAATGAAAGCAAAATTAAAAAACTCTAAACAATATTCCATAAATACTGACCTTTTGAAAAAATAGTACTGTATATCTTTAGCAACTGGGGCAAATGGTGAATTTATATCTGAAGAATAACATGAAATTTCATTCAACCATGATTAAACAACTTTACACCATTGTAAAGTAAAATCACATAATTTTTGAACCATATTAATTATTTGTTAACCAATAACTAGAGGTGACGTTTTAAAAGTTCCTCAAAAAAATGTTGGGTCATGTTTCATGATAATATATTTTTTGTAACTATAAATAGTTAAGTCGTGCCCTTTATTTGTTCATACTTTTGGTTTTCACATCATGCATATTCATTTTCTGGCCTTCACTCATACATATTCATCATCTGTTAAGTCCCAGCTATCATCAGAGGCTGCCCCGTCTGGTTCCCTAGAGTCTTCAGTGAATAGCTGCTTGAGATTCTGCAGGGTGAGGGCGCCAGTCTCTCCTTCCAAGTTGTTCAAGCTGTCACTGTGATTGAGAAATAAGTTTTGTTTTCAATGTAAGTGATGTCTCAAAACCGCCAAACTCACTGGTCTGACTGGAATCCTGCTGCTGCACAATTTAACGTGTTTTTAGATGGGGTTACGATCGAGTATAAGCTTTATGTGGCCTCTCTGGGCTCCCATACATTTTGAACTAAATTTAGTCGGGTACCATTTGCAGTCATCAGCCGACATTTGAAGAAAAAAAAAGTAAAAAAAAAAACCGTGTCGCCGCACCACTTTTGGGGCAAGCTCCATACCAGAAACCGAAGACTTTTTTTTTTTGCCAAATGAGCATCCAAACAAAACCTGACAGAGTATGGAAACTTACCTGGTGTGGTTAGCCTGCAGGAAGGCATGTAGTCTCTCTTCAATGGTATCTCTGACCAGGAAACGGTGAACAAATGTCGGTCTGAAATAAACAAGATTTAAAATCAACGAAAATTTTGAACTGGGGGGACGGGGGAGGGGGAGGTGGAGGGGGCATGTCTGATGTGAGTAATGCGATACAATGACAAAAACATTTTTTGGGGGGAAAATCTTCACCTAGTCTGACCGATCCGATGCACCCTCCCCACCGCCTGCAACTCACTGGCCGGGTTGAGTATGGGCTCAACGAGTAATACGTGAGTAGCCTCGATGATGTTGAGTCCCTTGCTACCGCTGTGGACAGGTAGCAGGAGGGCCGTGACTCCGTCTTCCTGCTTGAAATCCAGCAGGTTTGCCTGAAGGGTGAAACAAAATTTCACCTGTTTAAATCAAATTATTTCACCCAATTAAATTATTCCACCGATTAGATTTAAACTTGTTTGTAAAACTTCGGGCGATTCACAATGCAGTGCGCCACCAAGAGTTTGCCACGGAGAGTTATTTCTCCCAGTGCATTGTGGGAGATGGTCGACAAATTCGCAGCGCGGGACATTTTAAATTGTTAGTTTTTCCGGGCAGTAGTTTCGTAAGCGTATGATTCAAGTATCTGTTTGTCCTTTTCTTTTCTTGTTATCAATATGATATTTTTTGTAAGGCGGCAGAACGCTATGCCCCAATCTATAACAAATTAGCTCAAGCTGTCTACTGACACTCATTCAAATGGGCCATGTTTTGTCGACCGCAAACTTGAAAAAAAAAAGACTCTCCAAGGCAAACTCTTGGTGGCGCACTGCATTGTAAATCGCCTGAATTAGGGGTGACTACACACAAAACACTCTGAACACATTTTGGAACAGCGAGACTCTGCAACGTATTTTAAACATTTTGAAGTCGTACCTTAAAATGGCGTTCACCATGGGATCCGATGCTGCGAAATTCCACCTTGTTGTCTTTCAGAGCCTTGGCAATGACGGTCAAAACGTCCACCCACTGTGCAGGAAAAAACATAAAGAATAGACTCAAACTAGAGATTATCAGGTCCAGCAAGTATGAATTATACCATTGCAAAGGAGAAGAGAAAGGCTGAGGGTTCAAGAAACGAAATATTGAAATGAGGTGGAGTTTTGAAAAGTGATAAATTATGCGAATCTCTCAACTGAACTCAAGGGAGTTCCACACTTGCAACGTGGATTTGTTTTTCTTCGGTGTCTTAGCCTTGGGATGCATTGTGGCTGTGATGCCACCTCTGAACCTTTGCAATCAACTCATTTTCTTAAAGCGTATGATTGATTCTTATATTCATTCTGCACCTGCACAGTTAATGGACTGAACGTTTTTTGACCAGTTTGCGCTGGGATTATTTTGACATTGACCGGACCCAGGCGCGGGATGTTTTTCACGAATGTTGATGCCAGCTGGGTTCAGGCCGTCATCTGCAGGTAGCACACCCTGATATTTCCGGCCTTGCTCACTGCGAGCGGGTTGCTGACTGGTATTTTCGGCCTCGCTAGTTGCGTGTTTATCAATCATCCGTTCTGAATACTGCAAAACCGTGTATACACGTCATTCGACGTGAACTGGTTAACAACAAAGCCATTAAGAAAGGTGAATTGCTTGTTACCGTTGAGAATACGATGGCCTTGACGTTTGTGTCTTGCTCTCTGAGCTGTAGGAGGGTTTGAACCACGGCTTCTACCTTAGTCGAATAGCCTCCCTGGAAGACAATTCAACAAAAAAGGAGGACATTTCAGATGACAAAAGGACACTTTGCCAAATGCACAAGGAGTTCGAAGCAATCACATTTGTGAAATGGACTAACGCCAGGAACCTTCTCCATACCTTGACGGAAATGGTGGATCCCGGTTGCTGATTATTCTGCTCCGTGCTGACGAAGGAGATCTCTTGGAGGGAGGTCACGGCCCGACAGATGGCGCACCGCAGGTTCTTGCGATGGCCCCCGCGGTGGACGCGCATCATGTCCATACAGCTGTTGCAGAAAGAGTGGCCGCAGGGCAGGACACTCCACTGCAAGGAAAAATGAATTCCGGTTTTCATAACTTTCTACAAGGAATTACCATCCACAAGGGCTAAGGTTTTCCATTACTCATCCCGAGGACTTCCGTGACTAATCCCCAGGTTTCCCAGTACTTCAGAGGGCTTCCATGACTCATCCCAAGGTTTTCCATTACTTATCAACAGGGCTTCCATGATTTATTCCATGGTTTTCCAATACCTATCATGATTACTTCCATGACTTGTCTGAAGGTTTTCCCATTACTAATTCCAGGGATTTCCATCACAAAGTTTTCCACGACTTTTCGAGAGGATTTCCATAACTTTTCCCATATATTTCCATGACGTATTCCATGGTATTCCATAACTTCTCCCAAGTATTCCCACAACTTTTCCCTCAATTTTCCCCAGTTCTGCTAATGCATTTCCCTAGTTTTCCACAAGTTTCATAGGGAACCTGTCTATCCCTTCCTGTACACCCAGCTTTTGCAAACATAATTCAGCATGGCTCAGGGTTGTTACCATCTGGTTGGTCTGTCTGGACGTTGACCAGGTCCTCAGATACACCACAGTTATCCCAAAGATTTCCACAACTTCCCCCAAATTTCCATGCATTTCCCTAGTTTTCCACAATTTTTAATCAGGAACCTGTCTATCAATACCTGTTTGCCTAGCTCCTTCACGCATATAGGACAAGGTTCGGGGTTGTTGCCGTCCGGCAGATCTAAGCTCTTCAGATACACCAGCTGACCTAGTTTCTTCTTTAGCTCCGACTGCGCCAGGGCCCGGTCGTTGAGAAGTTTGAGTCTCTGATGATCCAACTGAAGGAAAAAACAAAAGTGTTGTGAGTTTTTTTCTTGATGTAAGATTTGTGTGCAACATTATAAACACAGACACAAACCAAGGCAGATTAAGCACACGAAAGTACCTGTCCAGGCTCAATGACGTTGGCCTGTGCTAAGACTTCCTCCGGTTCGTGGGCTTCTCGGAGACGCAGACGCATGGTAGCCATCTTTAACTCATCCCAGGCTGCTACACGCTCGCACAGCATCGTCCAAGTGACCCGTAGGCTCTACGGAGATCCAACCATAAGTTTGTAAGAATCGAGCCCAATTTGAAGAACCTCGTAAGCAGAAAAGTTTTTGAAGCAAAATTCATGTGACCTAGCAAAGATCAGCTGATAACCATGGCCAATCTAATGAAGCTGGTTAGCACGAAAAATGCACTGAGCACTGAGTTGTCAGCCAAAACACATGTGTCATGTGGTGCAGTTTGCTGTAGACATGCACTCAGCCAACTTTTGCTTAGCAGACAAAAAATTGCTAAGCAGTAATTTCCTCTTGGCAGGTAAACATGAAATTGGCCTTTGGTCAGAACAATGTACAGCATAAAACGTTTTGGTGGGTATTTTGTTTTGCTGAAAAAAGTTTTAAAAAAACCTACGTTCTTAGTAACTCTGTGTAATTTGAAAATATTTTATTCCCCGAAAGACCCAAAGCAGTTTGTAACTTGACCGTGATTTTAAGCAGAGTAGTAGTCAAGTTGTCATAGGTCCCCTAAAGTCAATCACAAGTTATTCAGTCTCAAGTCAAGTGACAAGCTATTCAAATGAACAGTTCCAAAGGCACTGCTCTGGACACAACGGTGGTCAAAATAATAAACGGCAGACCTTTCTTGTTCCACCAAATTGTAACAGGCGACAACTCTCCTACCTTAAACTCTTTCTTCTGCGTCTCCATCATCTCCAGGTGTGCCCCGCCCTCCTCCAGCATCTCCTCGTCTCCTCCCTGCTGCCTCAGGGATGCCAGGAGAGCCCTCAGGATTCTCTCCGTCTCGCTGGCCGCCCAGGAACCCTGGAGCCTGGGGCCGGCAGTCTCAGCTTCATCATCTGGGTCCGTCTCGGAGAGGAGATCCCTGGCCAAATGGCAATGCCCCAAATTTTAAAATTTCAAAGCGTCTACTAGTGTTATCAGATCACGGTGTTAACATTTTCTCAAGGTCTTATTCCCTTTCAACATAAAATTGTTGTATAAGAACAAAATTGAGTCTAAAGTAGGGAGGGTTTCCGGTAACACCATATGGAAGAATCTCTTTTGAGATGTGTGGTTCTGAAGAGATGTGAGTAGGATGTGAAACTCGACGTTCCAATCAGTATGCTCGGATCGTCTTCAGGAGAAAGCCGGACAGAGTCTGGCCTCAAAAACGGTTTCTAATCTATGAAGTAAGAACCTTTGTGAGTGGCCGAAACTTGACACTGACTGGAGTGTCTCTCTGAACCACAATGAGCAAAAAAAAAACTTTAGGAAAAAGTATCTTTTTAAACAAATGAGGGGGAAAATTATATTATTGTTACATTCCTAAAGTTCCCATTCCTGAATTTTGTAAAATTACCTTTGTTTGATAGAGAACAAGCAGGTCTCGTAGTCAGTAAACAGGGTGTGAACCCTGCAAAAAGGACATCTGGGGTGAAAAGAAACAGCAAAAATTATTATGAACGTCTTGTCAATGGCAAGGCATTTGTAGAAATTATACAAGTTGACAAACAATGCTATAACAGGAACACCTCCACAAAACTGAAGTTCTTTTCAAGAAGCATGTTAAATTTGTCATTAGAGACACACTTTCAAACACTCACTTGAAAATAAAACTGATCGTTGGGTATTCTTTATTGGGGAAATTTACCTGTTTTTGGGCTTCCCGCCAAATGGTCGCAAGTGGCAGTCGGTTGCCTCGGCAACCAGTTCCTGGGTCACGTCCACGTTGAGTTGATCCATGCCTGCCTGCAGACGCTTGTAGGCATTGTTGAGATCGTCGAGTTTGGTTACTAGGACCATTTGCAGGCCGTGGAGTGTTGAAAAACTGAGGATGAGTAGCAAAACACAGATTAAAAATTGTCAAAGTTTAATTAGCTTGAAGATCCATGAAAGAGGTTGAGATAATATCTTCATTTTTGCTATGAACATTCCCAAATCAACCAAGTTCAATATACACTGTGCGGTACCCCAACGGCACCTGCTCAAACAAAATGGGAACAGCGATAATACAGTCAAGTAATGGTGGAAAAATCCTGAAAAACACTGCTAAACCTCGAAAAGTATTCGGTAGAAAGGACTAATGTAATTAAAGTGACAAATTGAAGTATACCAGTTTCAGATGTTAAAAGGTGACAAGTTAGTTCCATAAATGGAATTTTCTCAAATACTTGCCATGCACATCTTTATTCATATTTTCAGTTCCTCAGTGAATATAATCATCAATACAATTATAAAAAGCCTTCAAATTGGCCACACTCACAATATCCATGTGAGCAATATATAACGAATAAGATGATTGGTCAATGTTTACCATGACTATATGAAAACCTTACTGATTGGCCAACTCATGATATCCAAGTCAGCAATATAAGGAATAAGATGATTGGTCAATATCCACCATAACTATATGAAAACCTTACCGATTGGCCAACTCATGATATCCATGTCAGCAATATAACGAATAAGATGATTGGTCAATGTCTACCATGACTATATAAAAACCTTACTGATTGGCCAACTCATGATATCCATGTGGGCAATATATAAGGAATAAGATGATTGGAAGATGTCCATAATAATTATATATAACAGCCTTACTGATTGGCCACGCTCAAGCTGTCCATGCGTGTGGTGGACATCAGCATGTCTTTGACTCTGTCTACAAATTCTTCTTCGACGCCGACGTAGCGCAAGTACTGCAGACCTTCAATCCACCATGGGTTTTGTACAGGCAACTGATGGGAAAAAAAGAACAAAAAAGGGGAAAAATCAAATACTAAAATGAGATGGCTAAAAGAATATCCTCATGTGTCAGTAGGACCTTGTGTTCACGTCGCCTTGGTGGAAGATATTTTGGTGATTACCTCGTCTTTGAGTTCTTGGATCTTTTCTTGAAGAGGAAGCAGACTGTCAAAGCTTGACTGTAGCGCTGCCTCTGCCTTGGCAAGATAGGCATCTCGGATTTCTTGCACCTGGAAAAAAATGTGATTTATTATCAGATGAGACAAAAAAAATACAGTAAATGACCAGATATTTTTCAAACCATTTACTATTTGAAAGAGCAAAAGCAGATGTCCTTGGTCTACCTGGCCAAACGGCACTAGAACGTGATCCTACTTTGTGGAGCTGCTTAAGCAGAAACTACTGCTAAGCAACTTTATGTGCTAAGCAAGAATCAGCCGAGAACCAGTCTCAAGCAATTAACAAAGCAAGGCACTTTAGCTTGTAAACCTGTTTTTGCTAAGCAAGTATTTTCTGTGCTAAGTGAATTTCTGTGCTGTAGTTAGCCGCTCCATGAATGCCTTCACAACACATGTATACAAGTGTATTAATTATCGCTTACTGTGCTGCCATTAAATTTGATATCACAATGAAGATGATAATGATAAGGATGCAATGAAAATTCTCTTGAAAGTTAAATGCGCTTTATTTATCTTGGTCAGTCTGAAGTTCCTGGAGTTATGAAAAAATACTTTATCAAGTCAATGAAAAACTGCAGTGTACTAAATTAGGCAGCTCTATTTCAACGGACTAAATGAAATAAGACAAATTGGCTACGACATACCTGCTGCTCTAGTTCCCCGTCTCTGAGGGTCGGAACCAGACCCTCTGGTTTGAGTTTAAGCAGCTGATGCAGGTTGTGCATGGTGTGCAGCCGCTGCAAGGAGTCCGTCTTCAGACGATCCTTGTGCTCCTCCACTGACCGCAGAATGTCCCGGTAGTGCTCTATCGCATCAAGGGTCTAAAGACACACACAGCACAAAATAATTTTCCTTCATGTTATGGTGCTTGTGTTCTTGGGCAAGACACTTTACTACAATAGCAGTGATTCACAACACAGTGCGCCACCATGAGTTTCACCATGAAGAGGCCATTTTCAGGGCTGCCAACTCTCACGCATTGCAGGTTATTCTCATGCTCTCACACCCACATGGGATTTCTCATGCTAAAAAAATAAAGCAGTAATTGACTCCAAACTCTAAAATGATGTTTAAAATGGTGACCTTTAGCTAAAAAAAATGGTTAAATTGGTAAAAAATTGCCTCAGATGATGTTTTGCTAAAAAAAATTGGTTAAAGGCGTCAGAAATTGCCTCAGATCGCACAACAGAGCGTCTAGAATCCAAAATGTTCCCAACGCCGTCACGGCTTCGTGCTCGCATTTGTTCTGATCAAGCTCCATCATCAAATTCTCACGCTCAGTTCTTACGCAAGGTTGGCAGTCCTGCACTTTTATCGTTTATTATGGTACAACAGACAACAAACGATATTCAGTTTGCACAAGGGCATGGTAGTTTTTAAGCTGATCTCGAACAGAAGCTTAAAGTGGTTGCATCAGTCCAACTCACCTGGCCCTTGATGATGCAGACCGCACCCAAGCCGTTCAGGCTACACACCAGCTGCCGATGGGCCTCCTCCGACTCCGTCTTGGCCTTGAGGGTCAGGGAAGTGAGCAGCTCGGCCATGGTCAGTGTGGTGCGTTGCATGCTGATGAACTCACCACGGACGGCCTGGGGGTGACAGCAGGCCTGACGGAGCCTCAGCAAAGGGTTCATCAACTGTACGTTTGGGGTTGGGTGAAGGCTAGTATTGTTACTGGATATTGCATTCAGGATCTGCACTGTACAATTGAAATGCACTTCGTCGCGTCAGTGCAACAAGGTCGTACCACCATTCTGCAACAAAGACGTATCTTGCGCGAATATGCTCTGTGCAACAAGGTCGTATCTGGACGTCCATTGTCTTTGTGGGTACATCCGGGTTATTTTGAGTGAGATACGACCTTTTGACGTTCTGAAACTCGCGTTTCACGTACAGCCCATTTTAGGAGATACAACCTTGTTGCACGGACACGACGACTTTTTCACTTTTGACAATGTCTATACTGTTTCTCAATATGTGAAGGCATCCTTCACTTCAGACACTCGCTCTACACGGGTTCCCAGCGCTTTATGAAAACAAAATCCCTGAGTTTTCCCTGGTATTTCCCTGAGAAATTTCAAAAATTTCATGAGAAATATTTTCACTGCAACGAGGTTGCTGGAAAGTCAAGAGGTAATTGCAAGGAAGCATTGTTATATTCCTACAGCATAAACACTAAAAAGATACCATAGCCAGTCAGTCAATGGGAACAACTTGGACAAATGGCACAAGACACACACGTTTATGCCAAACTGGCAAAAGCCTTTTCCTTCTGGAGTTTTCCCTCATTTTTGGTCTTTTCCCCCAACATTCCCTGAGTTTTTTCCCGACTGGAAAACGGACACTCCTTTTCAGGGTTTTCCCCGATTCCCAGAGTGGCTGTGAACCCTGAACACTGTTGCAAGGATCCTTAGAATCAACACCAAACCAACTCTACTTACCCTGTGGACAGTAGCGCGAGCCAGGGAGCCGAGACGGGTGCTGACGTCTATCTTGAGTCGAGCGGCCGCCTGCAGGAGGTCCTTGGAGCAATGCTCCTGCTTGCGTTTGTAGAAGTGCGTCTCGATGGGCGAGAACTGGAGCCAGTGGGTCTGCTCTGTCTGGGCCGGGATGTTGATCTGATGAAAAATTTCGTAAATTTAATTTTTGAAGGTAGCCAGGACAATTTGAATCTCATGGTATTCCCAATTATAAAGTATATCATGAAGTTTGAGGTTATTTTTTCAATGCTCAGTGGAACTTCCTGCATATGGTGTTTGTAGTTAACTTCATTTTTACATGCAGTACCAATGCACAAATGCATTCAGAAATGTGTGAACAAAAAGAATCAAGTTTCTTTCGGAAAAAGTTAAATTAAAGAGCAAGCTTTGAAAACAGTCAAAATGGCTGAGTCTAACTAATGTAAAATGAAATCTGTTTAGCGATGTCTACGAACAACTGTTGATGCTTCCCATAATACAACGCAGGAAAAGCAGGAATTGCTTTTCTATAATATGAATCACTGAAAATGCTTTTTATAGGAAAATTTGCACTTAATGGTTTTCCCAGCATTTTAAGCCAAGAGATTACGTAAGTGAGAAGCAACAAATATAGGAACTGTTGAAAATTGAACGAAAAACACATTACTGTAATTATACCTGATGAATGACGTCTTTCTTGGCACTGCGCCAAAGCACCTCAGCCAGAGCCTTCTCCATTGGTTCCTGGTTGCCATGGAGATATGGTTTGTACAGGATGTTGTCCCACCAGCTTTTGACCCAGTAGGGCTCCACGCCCAGGAAAAGGAACAACCCATACAGGTCTAAAAAAAAAGGATAAAAAATGGACAATTTCCTCATTAATAAAATAATAACTATCACGAAAGAATGGATTATGGCCATTTCCCAAACCATGGGCTCACCTGGAGCTTTGGTGTTATCTCTGGCATCCGAATTATTTAGAAGTCTTTGATGTTCACACTGAACAAAAAACTTTGAGCTTACAGTATATAGGATTTCTTGAAAATGGTAGCGTAGTTGGAGCTGGAGTTCCCAGTCAGGTGACTTGGATGAAAGCACATACAGCAACAAACCAATGAGACAGGGAGCCAGCCAAATAATTGCAAGGATACTGAGTTTATGAACGTACTGTCCAGGTCTCTCTGAATAGGAGTACCGGTGACGCACCACCGGTTCACAGCAGTCAGACGCAGCGCCATCTCAGCAACCTGAATCAAAACAAAAATCGCAGCCTTTTAATCTGCGGCAAATGCAATAGATACACTCTTTAAAACCTTCTCTCAACATTTTCCCTAAAATACCATATTTTTTTCGAAAAAAATTATCTGGCGTAGTGTAATTTATACAAATTTTCACAGGTCAGGAGGGAGCTGGACATTATTTGACACTAGGGGGCGCTGTTCAAGTTATGCAAATTTCACAATTTTCTTCAGTTTGAAGTGCAGTGCATTTTAGCAAGCTGTAAACACGCTATAGGTTGAAGAAACTTGGAGTGCATGTGTACACCTTGCATGCGACTGCGAGCCACTGCAATAATGGTTTTCTAACTGTGGTAAAAGTATTTAATAACTTAACCGAGTTTCAGTTTTTTTACCTTCGCTGTCGGGCACTCCACCATTTGGGCTTCGTCAAGGCAGACCCGCCACCACTCCACAGCAGGCAAGGGGCTTGGGACGGCCATGTAACGTTTAGCATGTCGCAACCGTCGTCCATTGTCACCTTGATAAAAATATTGAAAATTTGTTTTAAGATTTTGCCTGTCACTGAAAATTTATAATTACTGAATCTTTGTTGCAACTCAGAGTTTCAGGGAATATGTTGTCACAGAGTTATGATCTAGTTAGTGCAAAGTCATAAGAAGTTAGTCACAAGTCTAACAAGTCAATTCACACACAAGTCAATTACAAGTCAATCACAAGTCAAATCACAAGTCAAATCACAAGTCAAATCACAAGTCAATCACAAGTCAATCACAAGTCGATCACCAGTCATAACAAATCCATGACCAGTCATAACAAGTCCATCACAAGTCATAACAAGTCCATCACATGTCCATTACAAGTCCATCACAAGTCATCACAAGCACATCGCAAGACCATCACAAGTCGATTCACAAGGGATGAACAATGACAAAAGAATGTCTTTACACCAGTTCGTGTGACTTAACTTAGGACTGGATGACTAGTGATGACTTTGTGACAGAATCGATTATGAATCTGTATTGTAAGATATTCATTTTGGAATATTAATACTTACTATTTGTGTGGGGTAGATCCACATAGTTGAGTTCGGTCCTCAGCGTGTCGTAAGTCGTGATGACAATGTCGTGTTCAGCAAGCATCTGTGGCTGTAGGAAACCATGCTTCTTCACGCCTTGATACACCTTCAAAATAAGACAAACGGGAAATATTCAGGAATTGTTAAAATATTCAGGGGTTAACCAAGCAAAAAAATGATACAAGAAGAAATTCAGGATCTGTAATGGGAGATTTGTTACTCAATTGAACAGAATGAAAACAAATTTAGTATTGTTTCAAGGTTTTGTATACATGTTAGATTTGTTTTGTGTGTACTGATCCTATTTCATGATGTTAATAATCAATTACAGAAAGGTTTCAAATACTTTGTATGTTGAGCGTTTTCCTGAAAAAAATAAATCAATCATGGTGGGGAAGGGAAGGGGTGCAAAAGAATTTTTATATTCTGTTGGCTCATCGACCATCATAGACAAAACATATGTTTGGCAATGCCTACACAGGATTTTCCATAATGCAATAGCAATACCATTTGTGCGTATTTTCTCTATTTCTGTCTTCTTTATTTCAAGTCTTAGGCAAGCACTGACAATAGGGAGGTTTCGCAAGCGAACGGATACGCTTACACTTACGTTTAGCTATCCGTATCCGTTTTTTACTTACGTGTAGTGAGCGAGATATGCGTGTCGTCTGCACGTTTAGCGGAAAGTGAGCGGCGTATGACATCATAACTGATGACGTATCCGTCGCACTAAACGTATCCGTTTGCATGCGAAACCTCTCTATTGACGATACATGTACACCACTTACCAGTATGTTCAGGGTCTGTGTCTGTATGTGCCTGTTGATCTCATCAATCCACTGATGGCAGATGGTGGAGGGGGATATAATCAGTGTAGCTCCGGATGGTACTGTAGGCTGCGTACAAAAAAAAAATCCAAAAAATTCAAACTTGGTGGGGAGGGAAGGGGTCCAATTTCTAAAGTTGATTCCGACTAGAATCAGACGTTCGTTGTGTGGCTCCGCACACAGTAATGTCTAATATACAGAATTAAGGTGGGAAGTGCTTGTGGCCAAAACTGGAATGGTCCACTAATTTTGGCTGTACACTTATGCTTGTGCCGATGCAGTTTTTATACTTAAAATAATGTTAAAAGTGTTGTTGAAATTTTGAAAAAAATTGAGAAATGTGCCTACCTGCTCAATGCAACACATAGGGCAGAGGTACCGGTCATCTACTAGGGCCAGCTTGCTGTAATTCACACATCGGCAGTGCTGCCATCCGTCGCATATCTGGCACTGGATGCTCCATTCCGGGTCCAGCTCCTCCTCAACCACTCCGCAGATGCATTCGAAGCGGAACTTGGGTCGCTCCCTGCTTTTGGGTCTCAGGTACGGGTTGGGCAAGGGTTGTTTAGCGGCCTGCTTCTTTTTGGGTTTCTTTGCAGGTTTGTTGGTGTCCTGAGTAGGTTGGGTGTTAGTTTCTGGTTCGGAAGTTGCTTCTGTGGTTGGCAGTTCCGAAGGGGGTGATGTTCCAGAAGGTTCACTGGGAGCAGAACTATCAGGATCGACTGTTCTTTCTGCATCCCTGACAAGTACTGCCCGACCTTCTTCTTTCACTACAGGGGGACTATGTGATCCACTCTCATTTTCATTAGAGTGTTGTTTTGTTTCCTGGGCTAGGAGTTCAATTTCTGCTGTTTGTGGAATTTTTGATTCAAACCACCTCTCTGGGGGAATCAGCTGCTGGCTACCAGAAGGATTGTCATCTAAAGATGTGGACAAACTGACAGGCTCTGCTTTGATGAGGTCGGCAGTGTGTTCAGGCTTTGGCTCGGTTTGGGTATCTGATAGTAAATGGGGAGTGTTTGTATCCACTGATTTGGTAGCAAATGCTTGCATTTGGTAAGTACTACTTTGAGTCTTGGTGATTTCAAAGCTCAATACAGACGCAGCTCTGTCTGAATCTGTTCCCAGACTGACACCCATCACCTCAACAGCACTGCTATCTTGAGAGATCTTCGATAAGTCAGGTTGAACATCATCTCTACCAAAATCAGTTGGCTTAGGAATTTCCAATTTGGTACCCTTTGCTTTGTGGGAAGGTTCTTCAACAGACTGTTCCATCAGTTCTGGAATTACACGTGGAATCTTGGCATCAGATTTTGCATCAGTTTCTTGCTCTACAATCTCAGAACCGCTTATTTGCCTATTCCCCTCAGCACCTATGTTATCCTCATCAGTTGAATGAGGAATTTCCAATTTGGCACCCTCCGCTTCCACGGAGGTTCCTCTTTCAGTTTGATCCATCGGTTCTGGAACTTCACCAACACCAGGATTTGTGGCTTTGACTTTTGTATCAGTCCCCAGCTCTTTGCCCTTAGAGACAACGTCCTGTGCTTCTTCCTGAGCAGCTGACTCTGGCAGCAAACACCCTATGTCAGAAATTCCTGTCTCAGTTACTTTCTCTCTTGGGCACTCAGTATTATCATCACCTGTACCCATGATCCCACTGGTTGGATCTGAACCACCCTCGGCTTCCTTGCTCGCTTTGTCCGTCTGATTCATGGTGGGCTGGGCCGGATACCTAGGGTGGGAGAGGATGCAGGCCAGGACCTCTACCGTCTTACCCAAGCCCATCTCATCGGCAAGGATGCCACCGGGAAAAGGGAGCGGCTGAATGAATCGCTGCCTGGTGAACCTGAAAATTTACAAATGGACGCCATTAGATACTGGACACACTTCTTATAAAAATAAAAATGGTCTTTCAGTCTCAGTTAAAAAACACAAAATGCAAGTAACAAGGTTTTGTAACTCACTGGCCGCTGTGGCAGTTGTAATATAGAGTCTGTTCAGCAAGCTTCAGCTCTGACCACATGCAGTGCAACCGCCCACTATCTTCAGCTGGCTCCTCCCCCTCCGTCTCCCCAAACCGTTCCTTGCGCAGCATCCAGCTGACCGCCTGCCGCTGGTACTCCCTCAGGGTGGGAACCAGGCAAGGATGCTGCAGTTGGATTGTCGTGACGATGGCGTGGTCGCCGTTCTGTGAGTGGCGGCGGCGAACGGCGTCAAAGAGCTGGTTGAAGTCGTGGCGCTTGGACGTCACGGCCTCACGCGGAGCTGTACAATTGTGAAGCAGAGGTGGCGAGAGTCACGCAAGGAATTTTTATTATCTCAATGGCATAACCAAGTACATATATTTTGAATATACCAATGTCCATGTATTGCATTAGAAATAAATAATGAACAGTCTTCATATAGGACTTCACACATTTTGATTTGGGCTAATTTCAGCGGCAGGAAGGTTCTTTTTTTTTACCTGGTGCTTGGTACCCGTGTAACCAGTGCATCAAGCTCTGCATGTGGTGCGCATAGTCTTGCCGCCTGGCTGGCTCTGAGGCAAACTTTGGCACCGTCAGCGCTGGCTGCAGGAGACAGATGGCCAGGGATAACTGGCCAGTCACAGCATTGTAGGCATGACGGATCAGTTTTACCTACAAAAGTAACAAATATCTTATTAAAAATTTGAAGAAATGGACCCTTCCCGCTTGTCCATCAGAGAGTGCACATTGACTAATTGTCCAAGTGGAGTGCCGTGGCCTTGTGGTCTGGAGCACTGAATTCGTGGTCTGCGGATAATTCTGCACGTTGTGGGTTCGAGTCCAGCCTGGGGTTATGGCGCGTGTGCCCTTGGGCAAGGCACTTTGTCACTCATTGCTTCTCCCCACCAAGGATTAAATGGGTACCTGTGAGTGCAGAGATGGTTATTGTGGTTGATTTGAGCTGCTTTGCACCCAAATGGCTGCATCCAGCTGTATGCTCCCCAGGGAGCTGAGATGGTATTTGGAATACTTAATTGGCCCAATGATCAGGGGTAATAATAATGTAAAGCATTTTGATCTTGGTTAAAAGCGCTATATAAGTACAAGAATATTATTAATAATTAGATCACAACTTTTAGTCAGGTGACTACAGCAGCTCCGTCAAACTCAGCCACAAGCACTGTCAGAAATGTACACAAACCGAAGGTGGGCGGGACTTTTGACCTAATCCAGAACAGTTCATTATATTTTGTTGACATTACTGTAGCGTTTAGTCACACACATGAATTTTTAACTGAAAAATTAGCCTGATACTAATGCATGCACTGCAGAAAGATGCGGTCTGGTACTCATGTTTGTCCGTAAAAAAGAACAATCCCTGATTTTTGTTAAAAATTATTGCTTAACGAATCTGTCCTTTTAGCTTTTCATGTCGCAAGATCTGACCTTGGACTTATGATGGTGGATGAGTTTTTCCAAACTGTCCAAGAAATTATCTGGTGGCTTGTGTACGATTGCCGCTTCAAGGCACAAGTAAACTCTTGACGATAAGCCATTTGGAGCATTCTCCACGTTATCCGGTGCGTAGTCGAACACAAGATGGTGCGGCCTTGTTGGGCTGATAAACAGTGAACAGCGCCCCCTAGGAATTTGCTTAGGGAGAGTGTCGTGGGTTACGACATCGCGTTCTCTACAGTCCAGATCCCCTGCCGTCAATTCCAGGCTCGTCAGCTCCGAAGACTTGGACAGTCCGTGAGGCGAGAGGGCGAGCGTGATCAGGCCAAGCTGGCAGGCGACATTGTCTTGAGGGCGCTGTTCGTGGACGGTTATGCTGTAGTTGGCTTCCTCCCAGATGGTCTCGTACACTGATATTGTGATGTGGTGGGGCGGAGCCTGTATCTATCAATGTAAACGAAAGACATAAGACTGTTCAAACTACTTAAACAAAATGGCTTGCATACTCACAGCTGTCTGTACACTGGAACTAGGTACTGCACAAACCCACAAGACATCAGGTTTCCTGTTTTATTTTCTCAGTTCCATTGTTTGAAACTGTCTTTGTGAATTTCGAACCAACCTTACTTTTTTTAAAAACCACAACCAGGTTAACAAATTAATACATATGTGACCCGTGTGATTTAGCAAAATTAGCCTCAAGTACAAAAAAATGCAGAATTGTATCTCGAAACTTTAAATACAAACCTTGGAACTGGCATCAATTTGCTCAGCAACACTCTCCGACTCTGAGAATCCATGTCCCAATTTTTTTAGATTTCCTTGCACGGCAGCGGACGATGGACCACATGTGGTGTCAAACGTCTCAGATCTGTCTAATGGAGTTTGAATGGCACTGTAGCTGGTAGACGCTTCCAGCTGGTTACCCTCATTCATATTCCATGTCAGCAGCGAGCGTTTGGATTGGTTCAGCTGGACTGGGGCTTTATTCTTTCTCTTCGACATTGTGGTGGACTGTTAAATCAAATTTAACTGAAGTCTGAAATTGAAGTCTGTGGATGGAGCAAAGCTTGTGCTACAAAATGGTGTGCTCACTACTTCTGTGAAAGGAAACAAAACTTGAAACAAAGTGAAATGAGTTTCAAAATTATCGATTGACACATTTAGTTTCAGTTTGTAAATTTCTACATTGCATATTGTTGTATCATGGAAAGAGAAAATTATACCAGTGGAAATGTTTTTGTGTGATTGTACAAGATGAATGTTAAAATTAGGTCAAAAACTCTTTCATTTTTCACTATAATTAAAGTACTGTTTTTTAGTAGAGGACGCAACTTGCGCGCACGTCACAATGCACTATCGTGTGCAAAGCTATATGTTCAAGCAGTTGTTTTTACCTTGTATTGACATGAGGTCACGCAAAAAGATTCCCATATCTGGCCATCATGCACTAATTTGTCCCTTTAGTGACCTATCAGCCATCACTATAAATAATGGGTGTCCTTAAAAGTCAAATTTAGCGGGGAAAATATTGAAGTATTTACTAAGAAAACACTTAGAAATTTTCAGACCATTCTCATAGGGTTTGTGCATAGGGTGAAAAGTGATGGCCAGATGTGGGAATCTTTCCCGTCCGCCTATTGAATAAACTCCGTACGTTAGTGGGGAGTCTTGAAAGTTATTTGACAGTCATGACAGTTAAAAAGCACGAATCAAATTTCAGGAACTTGTAACTTGTTTCTGTGTTCCAGTCCCCAAATTTCTGTTATCAACCATGGCTATTCCTTCCTCCATGTTTCAACAAATCGGCAATGACTGATGAGTGATATTATTAGCAAAGTAGCAGATCATTAATTATGACAGCTGCAGATCAGTAATAAGAAAACAAATGGAAAACGTAGTACACTACACTAGCGACCGCACTCTGTGCTATAGTTGAATGGGGGAATGCCAGTCATATTTCCAAACAGTTTAACTCAAGACCAAGTAGACAGTGAACATCCAGTGTTAGCTATCAACGGTAAGAGACTAAAACAGAAATTTTACTAACGATCTTTAGGAGTTTTTCAGAGGCACTCTTGCAGAAGCACGAGACATGCGAGACGTCACTCCATCAAAACTTGCGCGAAACAAATGGCAATCTGCTTCGTGCATTGTAGAGAATGGTACCCAGTGCGTTAGTGTTCACATAACATGTCACGATGAGGCAAGCACCAGTCTAAAATAGCCGTAGTGTCCTGCTTTGTTTATGTCGTCTAAACTGCTGTTGTATGTGATAAACAAGTGCCATTTAAATTGGCTTAGCAGTGTCATATCAGGGGCGGACCCACACACCTTCGGGGGGGGGGGGGTGGGGTTGCTATGAAGGGCCAAATTTCAAACAAAATCAAGGACAATGGGTAGGGTTGAGGGCGGAGGGGAGGGGGAGTGACATTTGGGACATACATATATTATCTAAAAGATAAAGATCTTTTGAGATTTTTATGCTCCATAATATTTTCGGACGGAAACATATCTAGAAAAGCCTTCATTTAATGAACCCTGCAAACTGAGCAATGCTAAATATTACTTTATCAGAATTCACATAAAATACACACAACAATGGTTCATGAAATAAAATCCTCTCTTTTATTTCATATGCATCAAAACGCTCACACACTTTTCTTTTTTTCAAGTGGTCCACAAAATTACATTTTTATTCAGAAACTATATTTCTTCAGAAAAAAAAAATGTTGTGGCGACCTCTTTCTGGCAGGATCATATTCTTATTAAAAATTTGTAGATGACTCCTGTGCATTGGCAGAAATGTCTTAGCCCCTTGTGATGCTCTTCATAACACATTAACAGGAACATCCATTGATATTTTGAAGTGGAAATGTTGTTCACAACTTGAGAATACATAAAATAATCTTTTTTTGGAAGGTGACACGAAAAAGAATGATTTTGGTTTTCACGAACTAACACTCAAGCATATTGTGGAAATACAATTCGGAGAAAAAAACGCTTTGAAAAGTTTGACACGAAGTTAATCCACCCACATACTTGTAGGCTTACAAAAAAAATTAATTATAAACTTTTTTACTGGTGAAGTTAAGATCAGTGTTAGTTTGTGAAAATGAAACTGTACCGAATGCGTGCATGCAGTGCCGCAATGTGCCGGGTGTTAGTACGTGAAAACGAAAATAACGCAGTTCTGTAAAATACGCGCGTGTGCCGGGAATTCACATGCAACCGAGTGTAAGTTTGTGGTGTCCATGGCGAAATGACAATGATAGCATGAGTTTAAAAAATGTATAAATATATCCTGAAAATGCTGGCTGTCAGGCACATCAGTTCTGGCTACCTCTGGCCGCTTTGGTTGCTGGAGGATTGAAAACTTGAAGCTTATACTTGACGATTTCCAGCTGGCTCTTTGTCCATAAGTGTCTCTCTGTTTGAACATCGGGTGTTTTCCTTTCGTCTGCGGAATTGGTTTCCATTTCTAACACTGGTGATAAAAGTTCTTCGTGTTTAAGCACTGGTGAAGTCTTAGACCTAAGCAGAAAAGGAAAAATAAAAATAAAAAGGAAAAGTGATTTTGTGAATTGTGTTTTTTTCACCATCACCTCAATATAATAAACTATACAGAACTTAAACTATTTAGCATGATAATGTAAAACTAGTTCAAGCTGGTTGTGGGTGGATAAAACCAGTTGAAACCAGTTCCCTGAGACTGGCTTATTGGCAACCCCAATTAAATGATTGAAAAGGCAGAATTTATTAATGAGACAGTATGCATTTGAAATATTTAGCATGTGAATGTAAAACCGGTTCAAGCTGGTTGTGGTTAGATAGAACCAGTCGAAACCAGTTCTGTGATACAGACTCACAGCAATCTGAATAACTGAAAGAGTAGAAATAATTACTTGGGCTCTGTTTTACTGCTGTTGCTTCGTGGGATGTCGAGCACCAGGAAGTTGGGGTCATCCGGTTGCCCGGGTAACGACCCGATGGGAAATTCGGACCAATCAACCTGAGCTGTGAGAAATGAAGAAGGAAAAAAACAGTTTTATGAACAGCTAATAGCAAATAATGCAGTGGTAGTCCTTTTTTGTTTGTTTAGTACCCATTATATTATTTTGTAAAAACATCAAAAATTCACAGTGGTATACATTAACATATAGGGGAAAAGAGGAAGTAATGATTAAAATTTGAAAACCGTAAAACATTAAGTTGTGGAAATTACAAAAAAAAGATGCATATCATTGTTCATTTATTTTCCACAGAGTCACATATTTAAATTATAGTAATTAGTACAAAAATGATACTTTATAGACAAATAGTGAAACTGTAGAGGAACCTACTAAGAAGCAAAGCTTGTCGTAGGCCACTTATACAAACTTAAAGTTGCTTTTAATACACAAAACACAAGACAAAAAATGGACAAGGACAATACACAAACTTTACACATTTACCGAGTGTATGAACCTTTTGCTCAGCTACCATCTTGGACAGACCTGCTTTTGTTATGCAGTAACAGGCATAAGTAGACCTTTTTCGCATTCATTGTATTGTACTTTATACTGACTTCAAATTAAACAAAGACAGCCAACAACATTGGCTCTCATACTAGGATGGAAAAAATGGTAGAAAATTGGTGCAAATAGTTTTTACGACATACACACCTGTACTCTTAGTCCAAGGTTGAAAATTATCTTTTTCCCGGAGAACAAAACTCGAAGGAGTACTGCCTTCTATAACTTCCATCTGATTTTCTTCTGAAATGTCCACTTGTTCAACACTAATTTTGCTCTGGCCTGACAAATGTTCACCCTCTGGTCTGGGAATGTCCTCTGCAGTGTAAATCCTATCTGCCTCAGTGTTGTCATCAGTCTCTTCTGAAACTGGCTGTTGAGATTCCAGGAGGTTGCGATAGGTGGACATCAGCTGCCTCAGGTTGGTTTGTGCTTGCTCTGACATTTTGGGATCCAAGTTTGGCAAGATGCTAAAAAAAAAGTTTGGAGGAAATGTGACCAACAGTTTCAAGGTAGGTTTATTTTAAGGTTTCAAGGTAGGAATTTTTCTGAAGTTTGCCCGAGCGATAGAGCATATTTTAAAGACAAGGTTTTGCAAAGCAACAGACAGGTGAAAAAAATTGCCAAATTCCTTTTTTAACCTAAAATGCATTCACAAGAACAAACTGTGACAATGGACAAACTGGGAAACAGTAGAAAGAGTCCGATGTCTGAATGTAATTTCACCCTCCTGGAAAGGAAGACCCCAAAGCAGAATGGACCGACCCAGATCCTGCCATAAGCCCCACCCATTTTTTATTTGTGAGCATGGGCTTATTGGGCTACCATGGTCACCTGACCAAAAGTCAAGATATAATTGGTCAATGTGTACTGTATGATTGACAGACAGGAATGGTCCATTATCCACAAGATCTTGAATTTAATGCACCAAGCCACAAGGCCTTGGCACGTAGTCACTCCCTCAAATTATAAAAGGCAATGATTTGAAGACTTACTATTGCAAGAGGTCGAGCGTAAAACAATTTGGGTGCTGGATGCATTGATCAAAGAGTGTCTTCCAGGGAAGTTGAAGGTTATCCTTGAAAAGCCCAAGATATGTCCTGAACATTTTCCTGTCAATTGCTGCAAAAAACGGAAAAACGACACATATACATAAACGTTCTGCTGTTGAGTCTGAAATTCTTCATTCTGCTAACTTGACTTGTATTTTAGCTACATTTATATCGTAAAATATTGTATCTTGTATACGACTTTCTTGGAAACTGCTTGGCAAGTACAAGGGCTATAATTAAAATGAAACCATTCTTATATTTTGATCAGAGCAAAATATTTCTGAAAGGCTAATTATAGAGGCACTTCTCCAAATTGGAAAGAAAAAAATTCCAACGCCCAGATTTTCAAAATAAGGTCACTTCCCACCATAAAAATATATACTTACTGCCTGCCATTATGATTTGCATCGCCCATCCCACCAAATAGGCAGCCACTTGGCTCTCTGCGGTTCTGAATTTACCCAGCTCCCTCATGATGGACTGTAGCAACAGAGGGGTGAGCTCCAGTGAATGTAAGAGCGCCATCAGAGGCCTCCAGAACTGGCAGAGGGCTCGATGGATATAGATGATGCCCCTAGTGATTGAAAAGCCTGAAAATGAAAGACAATGAAGATAAGATTGAGTAAACCAGTGGGAGGAGGTAGAGTAAAAGGAACAGCATGCAGAAACACAACGTGGTGATGAAGTCAATCACAAGTCAATCACAAGTCAATTGTAACTCTTCACAAGTCAATCACAAGTCAATCACAAGTCAATCACAAGTCAATCACAAGTCAATCACAAGTCAATCACAAGTCAATCACAAGTCAATCACAAGTCAATCACAAGTCAATCACAAGTCAATCACAAGTCAACTCAGGCAGTCCCTGCCTGATTCTGTGGGTTTCCCCCAGAATATTCTTCTGGGCTTTTCCTCCCACCTCTAAGACTGTAATTTCTTCTCATTGTCTTCTCTCCACAGGTTTCCTGGCTTGCAAGCTACAGTGCCTAGGGCGCTTTTGAGGAATCCTTGGTTTCATTACCAGAAATGATTAATAATAATAATACTAATAATCCTGTAACTCGTGATTGGACTTATCAATGGACTTTTGATTTACTTGTGACTGGACTTGTGATGGACTTATGATGGACTTATGATGGACAAGACTACGTCACTGTTTAAGGTGTGATACAGGTCACAAAAGCTTACCTTCTTTCAAACCCAGAGCTTGAAGCTGCTCTGGGGTGGGTACCAGGTAGCCATCTTGCAAGAGAAGTGACATCAACAGGTACCTGGAAGGAAAAACATTGAGTTGATGATTACTGTGAAAACTGTCTGTCTGTGAAACTTTCTCTTTTCAATAGATGAATAATACTGAAGTTGTATTTTGATGGGAGGAAACGGATAAGCGAATTTCAAAGTGTGACATAATTTCAAGTCCTCACAAGTCATTACAAGTCAATTACAATACATTCAGTCTCAAAATAATTCACAAGCTGTTCAAAATTGAACTGTGACACAGGCATTTCTTTGTCATTGTTAATCTCCTGTTTCTAGTAGCCTGACTTGTACTGATTTGTTTGAGAGTTTACGACTAACTTGGTCACACCTCTTGAAATGTTGCAGTCGAAAATTAAAAGCAGCTGCGCTGATCTTACCCGGCCTCAGGATCGGCGAGACACTGCTCCAAATTGGACAAGATTTCTGTAATGCCATTTCCATTGCGACCATTATTAGGACCACACTGAATATTCTGCCAAGAAGAAAATACGGTTTCAAGTTTTTTCAAACAACAACTGTCTACTGGATTTCAGGCATCATTGCCGACTAGATGTTTACTAATCAACATTTTTGTAAGAGCATATAACTGGTGAATACTCACCTGGAACTGTGCCTGTTGGTAAGCAATACTCAGTTGATTGATATCATCTGGAATGGTAAAGAATGCAAATAGCGTTTAGCGTCTCACAGATTTGTGCAATCATAGGTATGTGTATCGCAAGAAAATCATTGAATGTCCAGGTATGAATATTTTGGGAAAAGGATGCACCAGAGTAGCACTGTTGAAACCTTTTCAAAGCTTATAATTTTCTTGGCTGTCTGACTGTTGACTGTATATCAGGCCAAAAAAAAAAAATATTCGGTCTCTGGTCAGACCAAAGTTCCGGAATTGACGCCGCGACGCAGCTTTTTTTTTTCTTCAAGCTTGGATTGTACAGACAAGGTGGGGTACTATTTTGCTTTTTTGGTGTCCTCATGTACATTGGTGTCCTCCATAATTTGCCTTGGTGCTCTCGATCATTTGCCTAGGTGCAATTCCCATTCTTTGATAAAAAAAAATTGAGGAGGTGCGGCAATAGAGGGCGCTGTTGGAGCTACCGCGGAACATTTTGAAAAAAAAAGATTGAGGCGCATGATTAAAATCGATGCACGCGCTGACCAGAGAACAACTTTTTTTTGGCCTAACCCTCCAAGCCTTTACCTTCCACACCGTTGACGTTCGGTGGATACGCCGAATCCTCCTCTCCTTCTGGTAGTACGGGTGCTGCACTCCCACACTGCTTCTGCCAGAAAATCTCCTTCAGCCAGGCCAGGCCCGTCTCGGCTCCCCTTCGAAGGGTGGCAAGCGGGGGCATGTGCTTGTGTGACGCCTCGTGACGTAGCTCCACCAACCACTCTGGAAGGCTGATCTAGAAAAATAAATAAAACGTATGATCAGGTTCTTGAAGTACGTTACATTGATCCCATCCTCTGAAATTAATAATTGATCGCCCTTCTCAGCATATTTTTCTTTAAGCTTGTTGGAATCTTAAGATAATCCTTGTTTTGCACTACTAATTTGGTGAATCTTTGTTTGGTTCTAAAAAAAACAGTTAATCAATTTCACTACATTCTTACCTCTTTTGCAATGGCAACGACAGGCTGGGCCTGGGCCTTATTTTGCAGGAATCCTGTTATTAAGTTCACAAATCTGCAAGAGACGGTAACCAATATTAAAGCTAATATCTCCTTTTCACAAACTTAAATGCTTTTGATAGTGTTTAAAATGTAATTTATTTTAAGAAGGTCATCAAGAATTTTCATATACTTTAAAAAGGAGTTTATGCAACTGGATTAATAATTAAAAAAAAGAAAAACTCCCCAAAAGTTGCACCAGCTTCACCTTATGACGGCCATGCTATAGATGAGCTGTAATGTACTTGGTTCGCTCTCATTTTCCTCCATTAAGGTAGCCTCTAAGAGAGTGGCTGTGCACTCAATTGCAACAGGCATCTTATCGGCAAATCTGCAGCAAAAATGTAAAAACAAAACCAAGAAATTGCAGATATGATTATGAAACTTATACTGTGAGAATGTAGTATTCTGCAGTATTTGGTTCTTGACCCTCAAAGAGCCCTTAGGACGTTAGTGTTAATCAAACTCAAAGCACATTCAGTCCAACTTTACTGAGTGAGGATTACCAAAGGTCGGTCAACAACAGGTTACCTATTCGATGTTCAAAATATCATCAAACAAGTTAGTAATAGTGTTAGAAATTCATACAATTTATCTACTTTCCTTTTTTTTGTAGTTACATTAAGCCCAATACATAAACTAGCATATAAACGAGCAGTGCCTTTTTGACCTGCATTTCCATTCATACTATTACCAGTATCAAAGCAAGTTTACATTAAAATCACGTAAGTTTTCGCGGCGATCATGAAGTGTAGGGCCCGGTTCCTAGTATAAGGGAACAAACCCAAGTTTAAAATTATTGGACCTACCAAACTAGTTGGCGACATTCTCAATAAACAGGTATGTCATAGATAGAGGGCAGGGTTTTGATTTTTTTTTAGGGAAATTTGGGGGTAAAATGACGATGACAGTGCGGCGACAACACACGACCCGAAAATAAAGATGGCGGTCACCGCGCGATGTACCATGAGCATGCACGGCTCGCTGAATCGCAAGGCACAAACCGCGCAGGAAAATCGTGTTTTCTACCCCCTAGAATCCGTTCAAAATTGCAAAACGGGTGTCACTAGAATTGAGAAAAGTCTGCTTTTGATTGTATGTAAAGGTGATTTTTGAGCAAAAACAAAATATTTTTGACTCTAATTTGATCAAAATAAAACAGGGGCCCTTCACTTCACGATCGCCGTACGTACGGCGTGTAGGCCTATGTGATTGCAATGGACGCGTTGGCAAATTAAAAATTACACCAAAATAAAACAGTTTATCACACCGGCACTTCCACGCGTTTATTCTTTCGAGACCATCGCGTTGTCTTTGAACATCGCTGTTGTACAGACAATCGTAAACATCATCAAATTCCCGTTTATTTCTCCAGCCCACAACTCGTGTTTGAAACCTCATGGGCGCCGCCATCTTGATTTATCGTCGGGCTTTAGCAAAGTATAAATTTTTAATGTCGATGTGATAATTTTAAAAAGCTAAATAAAATGCTAAAATATTTTAATTATAATTTTGAAATACCCGTTATTTTATGCCAACGTTTTTAAGGTTTTAAAAAGCAAATTTGTGAAAAAATGAATTAGTAATACTATAAATGTTGAACAAGGAGAATTCCATGTGCTCAAATTGTAAAAAAAACAACGCGCATGACGCGGTGCGTGTGTGCGATGTGATGCATTACTTACCATGCTTACTCAAATGTGACTTATTGTGATTGGTTGAAAGTTTGATTGTATGCATATTTTAAGAATAATTAGTCCTTCGGAAAGTGTTTTGCGAAATTTTGGTTTGCTTTTAAAAAAAGATAATGCGTCGGAATATTATAAGCCTATGTTGGCTGAGGCCTAAATTAGCTTTCAAATTATTTATCCATGAACAGATGAATGCAGTGCAGTGGCAGTGGCTATCGTTACGGCAGTCGTCTGGTTCCCAGCCCTGACCTGTATTCAATGTCAGGATTCAGGATCTTTGGCTCATTGGAACCAGACTATATCAACCGACTGGATCTCGGACTTTGTTTCCCTTTAAAAAAAAAAAACAAACAAAAAAAAAAACCTATAAAGCCATCACGGATTGTGAAGAAAAAAATGAAATCTATATAGCCTAGCTTCAGTAAAAAGTAGGATTTGATTAAAAACATAAAAAGTAAATGAAAATTTACTAGGGACCTGCCGCCAATTAGAAGAAAAAAGAAAAACAAAGTTTGGCATAGCACGGATTTGCATGATACCGGGACCTTCGGCATAGTAACGTTAGTTATTAGCAACCAATCAAGCTACCAAAGCACTTGGTATAGGTTTTTATAAATAGATTCAAGATAGTGTTTTTGCCATTCCGTAATAACAGATGAAAATTGCATTGCTGCTACTTTAACGATATAGCCACTACGCATTAATTGGTTGTTCCTTCTAAGTTTAAATTCCATTGACAGATGCACGAAAGTTTTGTGCATGTGTTATGTGTGCTGTGTACTACAAACAGTACAACTATAGCTTATTATTTTGCCCTATTTGGCCAGGTGACCCAATACAAAAACACCGCACGCCCACATGGGCCTACTGACCTTCAGCAAACACCCACTTATTGTTGTTTATTCAAAGTGGAGTGTGTGGGTTAAACTCTGCTGGGGCTTGTTGCAGTTATTATTACAGCAAATCAGCCATTATGTTTGCCTGACCGGATGAAACTTTTCCCTCGATTTAATTTCAAGTCCAAATACTCACTTCCAATTTCCTCTTTTGATTGTACTTGATCGGCCTACTTCTGTTCTGCGTCAGTTTCATACTGTTTAGTGTCGTTTGGATTTATTAACAAAAAAAACCTGTGAACGATTCTAGAATACCTATACATGTACACTTCCTCTTCCTGTCAGTGCTTGAGGTTGGTTTCAGTTTTGGATATATACTTTTGTTTTTATTCTTTGTTTTATTCTTGGAGTGGACATGACCGGGTGACACACTATCGGCGGGATGGGGATTGTCTGTGGCAAGAAAAAGAAGGAAGTGGACCCAACATGTTCACTGTCTGCAGTGAGGCCATTGGTGAAGGTAGGACAAATTTAGCTTTGCAGTACATTATGGTCTTACGTAGTCCGAGTAACTTGGACCCAACTTATCGCCTTTTGTAACATTTGGACATGGTGTGGCTTACTATCGCCAGACCATGACCAAATGTTAAAAAAGGGCGATAAGTTGGGTCCAAGTTACTCGGACTAGGTCTTACCCAACAATCGGTGTATTTCTACTTTGCTTAATCTTTAGTTAGGCTGAGTAAAAAAAAAAACATGTTTCTCGTCCGGGGTTTTTGAAAAAAGGGAGGAAGCGGGGCTTTTTATTTTTTAAATTTTTTTCAAGATGCCCGCCTTTTCAAAATTTCCTGCAACCATTGGTGTTCCACTGTTCAAAGACACTTTTAAAAATGAAAGACAAGTTGGACAAGAGAACTGAGCATATTTACAGTGTCATTTAGAGTTGTATTGGTATTGGTATTTATTTTCTGATGAATTTGTAGACTTTTTCGGTGTTTTTTACTACATTTTTCAAAAATAAAAAATGATAAAAAAATCCAGGCAGCCTCCAAAAAGGAAGCGGGCGGGGACGAGAAACATGTTTTTTTTTTTACTTCGCCTTATTGAACTTAATCAGGTTTCCTGACTGGGCTGATACTTCTTACATTGACATAAACTCGCGCAAGAGATTTCTGTTCACATGGTGCAACTTTTCTGTGTTTAATTTGCTTACAAATTAAACTTTGTTTTGATCAACTTATTAATGGAACTGGATATATGCAGCTATTGCAGGCCCAACTTTAGCTAACTATTACTTCCAAAATCTAATCGATTTGTACTTGTACCAAGGACCCCCCCCCCTAAAAAGAAATATTCATGCAAATCCGTTAATAACTTTTTGAGTTATCCTGTTAACAGACAAACCAACCAACAAACAAACCAACGCCGATGAACACATAACCTCCTTGGCGAAGTAAATATGTTAAAAGAATAACTGTTGATTGCATTTTACTTTCTTATAGGACCAAGAAAATCCTTCTACCGCATCAGCAGGGATGGACAAAACAGAAGAAACGCCACCAGCAAAGAAAGAGGTTGAGAAAAAAGTGGATGAATCTTTGGACAAAGATGATGAACCCATCACCGAATCTCAGACTACGCCTGGGCCAGCACTTTCCCACGGGGCACAGTTGTCTAAACCTCAACCAGTAGATGAAGGAGACGTCAATATGCAAGTGGTCGCCCAATGCTGGCGGGAAATAGACAGACAGTGCGAGGAGCACGTCGGCAAGAACTACCCATCCAGCGGGCCCAACTTCTCCGGCTGGAGAGCTGTCCGCCTCTTCGTCTCGTCGACGTTTCAGGACTTTCATAATGAGCGGGAGATCCTTGTGAAGAAGGTAGGAAGAAAAAAAAAAGTAAAAAATTCTTGAACAATGACATTGACAAAATGCAGGACCGCTAACACATGACTGGATAGCTCAGTTGGTAGAGCACTGGAACGGTAATCCGGAGGTTGCAGGTTCAAACCCGGCTCTAGTAAATTCTTTGTTCAACTTTCAAAAAAATTATAACTATTTCTGTTATACTGAAACGTTAGGAAGTTCCAAAATTTCTGTAGTGACCAGATTATGATTAAGTATTTGCTTCACAATAGTTTCATCTTAGCATTGGCATTATGATGTTGATTTTTGATTTTTTTTTCTTGGGAGGGGGGCCTGGGGTGCTGAGCACTCCCGCCCCCCTCCCAAAAATCAACATGTTTCCAATGCTAAGATGCAAGCACAACTATAGACACACAATCAGATTTCCTTCATAATTCAACAAAATCCCTCATTTGAGCCACATTAAACTCTTTTGCTTGTTGAAAACCCAACACAGGTTTTTCCCGAGCTGCGTGAGTGGTGCGAATCCCTCCATCTCCACCTGTTGGAATGCGACCTGAGGTGGGGCGTGCCCAAGGACGCCACCACCCGCACCGTCCTCACCACCTGCATGGAGGAAATCGACCGTTGCCACGGCGACGCGGACGGGCAAGGATTCTTCCTCAATATGCTGGGAGAAAGGTACGAGTCAATCGCAAAACGATCACAAGTTGAACACTTGTCTGTTCACAAGTCACATCACAATTGGAAACTTACTTTTTTTTAATTTTCATTTTTTAGATACGGATGGGTACCAGCCAAAGACAATATCCCCAATGACATAGCGGAGGAGTACCAGTGGGTACCATTGATCTCCGTCACCCATATGGAGATTTTACTAGGAGCATATCGTTGCCGTAACCCGAATGCTGCGTTCTTTCTGCGTGATCAGTCTGGCTTTTCTGAAATGATTCCCGAAGAAAACAAGAATCAGTTTGTGGAGCCCACTGAACTGGGCAAGATTCAACTCAAGGTTTGCGCCAATTTTTGTTTTCGGAGGAAACAAAATCAACATTTGTAGTCACAAAAGTCACCTTAGGAAAGAATTCAAGATAAACTTGCCGAGATGTAACTACATTGTATTAAAACGGTCTTACATTCATCTCAGATGTTGTTTATCTAGCTTCCTCTTCCTTTTTCTTTTTATCCTTAGAAGTTAAAAGCGAAACTGCAACAGCGCTTTCCAGAACAGACTTTTCCTTATTCCTGTGAGTTTGATACTGCACAAGATTCAAAGGTAAGTTCTTACCAACATTTCTAACATAAATATAAAACACTGAATGTGCAGATGTCACTTTAGGTTTCGAGGGATGTTGTGAGGTCTATGCCAACTTTTCCTAAATTATTTATACTACCTATTCTCATTAATACGAAACTTATTAATGAAAATATAACTGATGCATGTTATGATGTGGATCATTGAATTCATTTCAATCATGCAGGTCAGGCTGAAAGGCTTGGATGATTTCGGAAGGCAAGTTCTGGAGTTTTTCAAGAAAGCCATCGAGAGAAAATTCCCTCCGAGTGACAATGTCGCTCCCACTCCAGACAAATTAGGTAAAACATCTCAGTCTTCAGATTTTGAATTAAAATTTTTCAATCTCACCGTCAATTTTCTGCAACAACCTGTCTTCATTGTGTGTGCGAGGTACCGGACTAATATTTGTAAATAAAACCAAAGCTGTTTTGTCACGGAATCTAACTTTTTAGCTCTGTGAATGGCTTGAATTGGAGGAAAATATTGGATTATTTTAACATTGCATTACTGTCGCTAATTATTTCATTCTTTACTGCGCAGAACAAGATCAACACGATATCTACATGGAGCAGAAGGGCAAACTGGTCTTCGGCCGTGACAGCGAAATCGGCAAGATGACAGACTTTGCGAAAGGCCTTCACAAAGACGCTGAAGGCGAGGCAGGGAAACAACGCCACCACATGATGGTCGTAGCCGATCCGGGCGAAGGCAAATCCAGTCTCATGGCACGATTCGTTATGGAGGTCAAAAAGGTAACTGGAGGATCGAGGGCGTGGTTATTATTTCCAACGGAAAAAAGGGGCTGCTTGATTATTTTTTTTTGTACATTGCGGTTCCATAACGGGGAAGCCGCATCGGTTTCTCACAGAAGACTTTTCCACACTTGGGTGTCGAAATTGAAACTTAAAATTAAAGAAAAAAATATTAACGAAAGACATATCTTTGTGTGTTATTTGCCCCTGAGAAGTGAATCTGTTATTGATTAAATTGTCATCTTCTGAGTTTTTGATATTGTTTCTTTCAAGGCCGGCTTGACAGTCTTCTACCACTTTGTTGGCTGCACGGCTGAATCTAACAGACCCTCCAGCATCCTTAAAAGACTAGGTAAGCCCAGAGCCAGCTAAAAGCCTCTTGTCAAACGGAGTAGATGAAGTTTGCAGCTCAACACATGTCAGTCGAAAACAGTCTCTAAAACAGCAACATCGTCTTCATTTCTGACCATCTCCATCTTTGCATTCGCAGTCGGCAAACTGGAAGAGCTGTATCCAGACACATGTGTCTACGCCCCAGAGACCGATGGTGAGACCTCGGAAGGCAAGAAAACAGAGGATGAACTGAATGCCCTCAAGATGGCTGCTTATGTCAAGAAACTCGGAGAAACTGGGACCCAGTTCCTAATTGTTGTCGATGCTGTCAATCAGGTTAGCGCTTTTAAATTCGTGATCAGAAAGTGATTACGTACGTAATCAAGGTCATCGCACACATTGATTCAGCAGTGATGCTAGCAGAATCTGTTATCGACTTGGAAAATGCCTGCCATTTACTGCTTTTCGCTTACTTCTCACTTAACGTCCCAGACATCGCAAGAAAACAACCGCTACTGCTGGCTCCCAGCTGCCTTAGCCGGTAACCTGCGGTGCGTGATGAGCACCACCAGAGAGGCCCACACTGCCGAGGAGCTGGGAAAGCACTGTAGTCCGGCCGAGTTGACCCTCGAAGCCCTGGACGACAAAGCCAGAGAGGAGATTGTCACAAACTACTTCAAGAGATACAACAAGGTTGGGAAACCACTATTCACTTTTTTTTAATGACATCCAACTCCAAGCCCTGAGCATGTTATTTTTTTTGGTATCCTGTTTCTTTTCTGTCTGTTTTCTGCTTATTGCATCTAATCCCTCATGGCAAATATTGGCCAGGGAAGCTAAGTGAAAAAATCAGTCGAGGGAAAACTGAGATTACAACTTTTGAGTCTTGCAAATTCCGTTGGACTCTCAAATTGTCTAGACCTTGGACCCGGAGCAGCTCGTCCTCCTGACGCACTCCGAGGGGGCCAGGAACGCCCTGTGGCTGTCCCTCAGCTGTGAGGAGCTGCGAGTCTATGGCGTCTTTGAGAAGCTGACAGATCGCATCCGGGAACTGCCCGCCTCCTTGGAGGGGCTGATCGAGATCATCTTGGCACGGTTGATAAGTGAGGATGAAACTGGGATGGTTGAGAAGGTAAGCTTAGAAGGAGAAAGTCAACTATACAGCCAGTTTCAAAATATAAGCTTTTATACGGGTTTGGATTCATCATTGGTTCTCAAATAATTTAGAAACCGTCTATGTCCAAAGCAAATTGAAATACTCTAAGTTGGAATGTTTGTGAGGTAGACTTGAATTGAGCCAGGGTCTCAAGAAGCCTAAAATTTCCTGAAGGCAAGGTTTTTGAAAACCCTGATGATTAACATGATTGATGCCCCATGTTGCGTATACTACGCTACCCCCTCTTACAGAGCAGTACTCTAAGAAGGACCCCTTCCTGGGGTATAAGAAGGGGTAGAGCACATTGACTGAGCCGATGACAAGATCAAAAGAGGAAAACGGCCCTCATAAAGGGACGTATGAGAACCCAGCTCTATAAAGCCTACCCTTCTCCAGAATATACCTGCCAGGAAACTGATAAGTACCTGTTGCTACCTGTAACCGAAGATTTCTTCCAGGATTAGATTTACCAGTCACTCAAGATTTCACGAAGGAAGAAATTTCAGTAGAAAATGTTACTTCCCTGCGAGTGAAAGCCAACGATGTGTCTATTTTTGCAACTTTTGCCATGTACCTGTTCATTTTACCCAGATGCTGCACTACCTTCAGTGCGTCCCTGGCGGCCTGAACGAAACCGAGCTGCAAGCCCTCCTGGGAGATATAGAGGGCGACAAATGCACGCCGGCGCCAGCGTTGCACTGGGCCGTGGTTCGACGCACCCTGAAGCCTTTCCTGAGGAACTCCGGTGCCTACGGTCAAGTGGAACGACTGCAGTTCTTCCATCTGGCTCTAAACAAGGTGAGGCTCGTTGTAGCTAATTCATAAAATAAATCACAATTTTTCGAAAAATTGTGAGAAAAAATTTGGAGACTGCAACATTTATCATTATCTCTTATTTTGATTTTTTGTGCAGGCTGTGCAAAAACGTCTCATGGAGAATGACGACCTGAGAAGATTGCGGCACCGCCAGCTAGCCGACTACTACCAATATCACTGCCACGACCTGATGGCCGTGACCAACCAGCTGGCTCGTCAGCTCGCACAGGCCAAGGAAGGCCAGCGATTGGTCAATTTCTTCCGCACGGACAAGCGCAGCACCAGCGTCAATAAGATTGAGAAATCAAGACTGTTAAAGGTAACTCCTTTCATGTATCTATTAGGTTTTTTTGAAAGCTGACAACAATGTAATAGTTGAGTCCTTTCCCTGAAAAGACAAACAAATTTCCTTCAGAAGGAAAACTGGACATATTTGTGAAATGAAATACCATTTCCTTTCCTTTACCTCAAGGAATTCCGCTGCACCAACATGACCAAGTCGGACTTTCCAGGCTGCACCAAGTTCGGCTTCTGCTCTTTCTGCAAGAACGCTCGCAGTAAGCTGGACCCCAACTCCTACTTTCAAAACAAGGACTGCTGTGCCATATGCGGAGACAGGGTACCATTCCCAGGGCCCAAATCTGCCAAAGGTACAATGGGAATGGGTATAGCAATAAAACAATTCTCTTGTGTCCATGGGTAGTACACACAGTTGCAATTTTGTTCCCTAGCTTGAACTTGGAGCAGATATTTACCAATTGAAAGCATAGCTAACAGTTTTGTGTAGGTAATCTTCATTTCATTACAAACTTGGAAGTAAAAGTATGAAATATGCAAGGTTTGGATTTTTCAGAAACACATGTATTTTATAATAGCTTACTATGCTATTATAAAGTGCACATGTTCCTGAAAAATGTTGTGAGAGCAACCAATTTTAGATTTGTTTTCAATATTTCAACAATTTCCATCATATATTATTGGCACCTCAGGGGAAAACACCTGTGAGATTTATACCACTTGTCAGACTCATAAAAGTTTTAAGCAAAAAATATACTGTATTTGCAATCTTGAAAAACACTATAAAAGTGTCTAACATTCATTTGATTCAATTTCAATAAGCTTTTCTGTTTGTCATTTCAGCATACTGGTGTCCGTTCCACAAACCCTCTTTTCCCTCCTTCGGAGCCAAGTACAACTGCTACGTCTGTCAGAAGTCCATCAACCAGCCCGGTGAGCCGCCGCTGGCCTACATCTGTCAGTTCTGCGATCCCGGACACATGGAGCGTTGCTGTAAACTGGCTCCGTAAGAAAAGGTTATGATGGACACAGACCGGCAGTGGTGCCTTTTTAATGATAGAGATACAAAGTTGAGGGAAAGCGAAGAGCTGGGACAATGGGTGTGTTCGTTTAGCTCACCCGGGTCGACAGGGGTAAAGGCAGACAGGTCAGCCACGACAGCCGGGATAATCGAACGCTCAACCGCGGGCCATCACGATCCTCACATGACGCCCTTAGCCGTGGCCGTAGCCACTGACAAAACGCCTGTTTCGGATTGGGTCTTAGTTTGAGACTTACTGCTTTTCAGTCAGTTGCAAAACTCAAATAAGTTGGGCTGAAATTCTCAATGAACTCAATACATGATTACCTTTAGACTTCAAATAAAGTCAACTTTTAAGTCCACTTGAGATTTCCGCTGTCCGGCCGCCATATTTGTCCGTTTCTAGGGAATGAACAACGCATGCGTGTGACGTACTTCCACCAGTGACTCTGCTCCACGAGCAGGGTCTGTGGTGGCTGACCCGGGTGAGCCCCGAGAATGACGTCAGAGTTAATCACACGGCACAGGGCTGACCCATGTCGACCCGGGTGAGCTAAAGGAAGGCACCCATTATAGGAGTAAAGGGGCAACGCTGACACTCGTCTAAGGCATATTCCATTTTTTGTAAGGACCAAAAAGACCTTATACTCCAATCTTTAAACTTAAAGGAGTTAAGGGGTTCCATCTTTTGTAAGGACCAAAAAAGACCTAATACTCAAGTCTTTTAAACTTTTCAGGCAAACCTCAGGTAGCATAACAATTTTGACTAGTTAAATCATCAAGTATGATTTTGCAATAACTGATAATTTGTTATTACTTTACAGTTTTGTAATTAAAGTTCATTTAGGCACAGTTGTTAAGTCAAACATTTAATGAAGGACACACTCACATTTATAAAGAGTTTTTTAGTTCTATTTTGTTCTAGTTAGATTAGTCTTGGAAAAGTGCACCTTATTGAGTTATCTTGCCCAGAACTTTAACTTTGGACATTAATTTTAGTGATTTGTTGTACTTAACTCAACTTGATGTTTATGCAAATGAAATAGAATTTACAAATTTTATTTTTTTAGCTCATTCTAAATGGTATTTGTGGAACATAGATATATTTTGTAAAGATTTTCAAAAATAATAGAGTTTTAATAATTTTGTAATGTTTAACAGATTTCAATGAAATCCAGAGCGATTGTTTATTACTTTGATATGTTATAATATTGTGGACTTGAAACAAAAAATGTGTAAAGTATAAACATTTCAATTCAAAGAGGTCATTAAAGTAAACTAATTTTGATATTTAAAGGGAATGTACATCATTGGCTTTTGCTGTAATTTTCAGAAATGAACTATTTGAGGGGTTAGTATAATAGATCAAATATTGTTACACTGACATGTTTGAAGTTTTGTGTTCGAAAATGCTGGAAAAACCAAGAAAAACAAAAATGTTCAAGTAGTCTGAGTCCTTGACTCCACTAAAGATAAAATTGATCAATATATAGATGCCGGAAAATTGTAAGGTAAGGGAACCAGTCTAGCTGGCCCGCACCCGTTCATGATATGAACATGTAACCAATAGCAAATAAAATTTGGACTGAAAAAAGTGTAAAGTTGGAGCAGTAGTTGAAAAATAGTTGGGTAGTCGGCCGACCACCGTTGGAAATGTATACAAAAATACCATTTTCTTGAAAATGACTTCACACCAGGTGCCATAATTTTACAGGATGTTTTAGACTGTCATTTACCAACATCCTAGTAAGGTATTTCGTAAAAACTTGGTAGTTTTATTTTTTGATGTTTGAAAAAGTTGTATATTCCCTTTAAGTGAATAAAGAAACCAGTGTGCCAGTCATAATGATGGAAATAAACATCATATTTTGTGAAATTACTAGCGGTTTCACACGACCACTAGGCCCCCTTCTGATTTCAAACGAGCCGTTTAAAACTTTTCCACCACACTTTTACTCCCATATTTATGGAACACAGATACATTTTGAAAATATTTTCTGAAATAGTGGGGCTAGAGATTTTCTATATAACTTTGCAATAATCAACAGATTATAAAAAAAATGTGAGCCTGAAAATGTGGCCTAACCTTTGATTGATATGTTTTATATTGATTCAACTTTTCCTACCATCTTCCAGACTTCGAATCCTGCGCTGCCCATCCTGGTATTAGCCCTCTCCATAATTTTCATGTTTCTCAAGCAGATGTTATGAAGGCCATCGATAAACTTAATCCATCCAAACCCCCCGGCTTGGATGGCATATCTCCAACAATTCTGAAACTAGCCGGCACTTCAATCGTTCCAACATTAACTGACATATTTAATCTTAGTCTTTCAACAAGTGTAGTTCCCCAAACCTGGAAACAGGCAAATGTTGTTCCTTTGTTTAAACATGGTGACAAATCTCACATTGTTAATTATAGACCTATTTCCCTTACTTCAGTTCCATGTAAAATGCTTGAAGGTTTTATAAGCAAGAAACTACTTGACCATTCTTCTCAGCATCATATCATCCCCGACTCCCAACATGGATTTCAACCTAGACGTTCCTGTACTACTCAGTTAACCACCCTCTTTGACACCTGGTCCCGAGCTCTTGATGTTTCCAATCCTCCTCGAATTGATGCAATATTTCTTGACTGGTCTAAAGCCTTCGACAAGTGGGACCATTCAATCCTCCTTCATAAGTTACACCAATATGGAATTTGCGGTAACACACTTTCATGGATCAGTAATTTTCTTTCCAACAGAGAACAGCGAGTCATCTTTTCGGGCGCTAGATCTGACTGGATACCAGTAACTTCAGGAGTTCCCCAAGGCTCAGTTCTTGGTCCTATATTATTTAATTTCTTCACAGCTGACTTACCAAACCATGTTCAGTCTTCTCTTCCTCAATATGCTGATGACACCGTTTTGTATAGGATTATTAGAAGTAATGATGACAGTGCCATTGTGCAGAATGACCTCAACTCTATTTCCAGATGGTGTTCTGATAATCAGATGCAACTGAACTCCACCAAGTGCAAAGTTATGCATGTCACCCGCTCCAGAAAGCAATTGCTAACCCCTTACTTTTTTGTAGATTCCGATGAACCTCTTGATGTTGTCACGTCTTATAAATATCTTGGTGTTATCCTTTCGAACGACCTAACCTGGACCAAACATGTAAATTCTGTTCGTGCCAAGTGTTCTAGACTTGCTGGCTTCATACGGCGTACTGTAAAATCAAAAAATGCTGAAGTTCTTCTCAAATTATATCGTTCTCTCTGCAGGCCCATCTTGGAATACGCCGCGCCGGTTTGGCTACCTCACCAGAAGAACCACATCCAATGCCTTGAGGCAATTCAACGTCGCTTCACTAAATCTTGCTTCCATTACAATGTTGCTATTTCTCTTTCCTATGAACAACGCCTGTCCAAACTTCACTTGCCTCCCCTCTACAACAGACTTGTATACCTCAGTGCTTCCTTTATCATTAAATGTCTCTACAATCAAATTTCTGTTCCTTCACATTTTCTTCCACAGGTCAACACTAGGAAAACCCACACCCTCCTCTTCAAACATCAGTACAGCCGGACAAACTGCGTCAAATTTTCTTTGTTCACCCTCTTTCCCAGGTTTTTTAATTCACTTTCCACCGATGTTCGAGACCTTTGCCTAGAACGTTCCCCCAAACCTCTCATCAATTCTTTACGTGATCATCTGTTCAGTCTAGACCCCATCTCTCATGCATTCTAGAGCTTTCCTCCCAAGATATTTTTATTCTGACTTCATGTTTTCACAAATCAAATTTCTCCGGCTCAACAGACTCCCTTTCACTGCATATTATTATTAAATATTATTATAATAATGATTTGGACATAGCATGTATGCCAGCTTTTATTTCATTTATTTGTTTATTTTATTTAATTTAATCTTATTTTATTTCATTTTATTTCATTTTACATGTATTTTTATTTTATTTTATTTTATTTTATTTTATTTTATTTTATTTTATTTTATTTTATTTTATTTTATTTTATTTTATTTTATTTTATTTTATTTTATTTTATTTTATTTTATTTTATTTTATTTTATTTTATTTTATTTTATTTTATTTTATTTTATTCTATTTATTTTATTTTATTTCATTTATATTTATATTCTATATAATTTATTTATATATTTATTTATTTATTTATTTACTTATTTATTTATTTATTTATTTATTTATTTATTTATTTATTTGTTTAGTCTTATTGTACTTTTTAATTGTATTTTTAATTATATTTTGCATAACTGCTTAATTTTTATAAATATTTTATTTAATGAATTTTATCATAAATGTATTAATCACTGTTATCCAATTAGTTTGGAGAGCCCCTCGACAGAAACTTGTTTCTTTTGGGTAATCCTGCGGGAGCTTTTTGGGTGTTGTTTTCTGTTATGTTTTCTGTTATGTTTACTACTCAGTGTTATTTGTACATGTAATTGTTTTGTCTATGATTCACTGTTTGTAATATCCCGGAAAATGAAATAAATTAAATAAATAAAATAATAAAATAAATAAACGAAAAGATGTTTGCGAAGTATCATTTTAGAGGACACTGAAGTACAAAAATATAAATGCATGATGCAGTGAAATTACCCAGTGTTTACAATAAAATAGTTAGTTTTGATACAATTTAAAACAAATTTGTCAAAAAATGTCGGACTTTCTCAGTGTAAATGTCGTGTCCAGTATTTCATTTTGTAGTGGCTCCCGTGTTCCCATTTTTCTGTGCTCAGACAATTTTGGAAACAGTTTGTTTTAAATAAGTTAAACTGAGTGAGTGTGCTTTTCCTGAAAGTCAAACTCTAAAGTTATGCTTCCAAAATGCAGCTGCTTTATTTATCATATTTATTCGGTAGTATAAAATAAGACATTTGGTGAGTATCCTTGCATATACGTTTTTAACGTGAAAAAATTCCATGAATTATTTGCGCGCGTACATGTACACACAATGCACACCTGTAAGCGCGCGCGATAACTTTTGCACTCCTGTAAAAAAAGTTTTTACCGCCAAAAAATAAATCTCCTCGTTCGCAACATATAAATCGCACAAACTTTTAAATATTTGATTGAAACATAAAAACAGTTTATTATAGGCCTTAGTAGTAAAAAAAAGTATTTTTGTATTTTTTAAAATTTGACAGTGGCCATTTTTCTCTTATGTTGAGTTTGGCCCAGTGCGTTCGACAAATGTTTGCGAACGAGTTCAAACATGGCGGCCTCCATTTGCCCGAGAAGTGTAACTCATTTCCGCCGAAAATGTTTGATTTTTCGTCACAACAGAGGATTTTCTAATAGTATGAAGCTAAGAGTGGCTGCTCACCACTATGAGGAAGTTAATAATGCATTTAATGCAGCTTTTCATCGTCCCATCGTCAAGAAATTGTCGTTTGCAATCCGACATGCTCGTGCCTGCAGTAACGTTTCACACGATGTTGTTGGTAAAGGTACGCAGTTGACTCGCAAGAGGGCGGAGTTAAGTGACAAGTTGGAGGATGGTCCTTCTCTTCAGGATTTCATTATAGCATCGAACCAATCTGAGAGTGTCTACGATGAAGACCTGACACAAGAACCGGTACCATACCTTCTGAGAAATTCAACAGAAGCAAGGAACCGAAAGGGTAAAAAAAGAGAAATTAAGTTAGTGGGAAAATAAATAAAAGAAAACTTTTAAAAGGTCTAGTCCCACTAAATTGGGTTCATTTTTTTTGGGGGGGGGGGGATGGCCCCATTGGTTTCCAACCCCCCCTGGATCTGCGTCCTTGAGCATTGAGGCGGTTTCTTGAGGGTCTTAGATTGGAGAAAGGTAGAGGACGGCCACAACTACTTCAGCATGTTCAGGGACTTTGCTGAATAAGATTGGATATTGGATAATGAACCAAAAAGCTGAGCAGCTTTTTATTCACTTTCAAGCATTTGAATAGTGTGAAAAGGTACAGGTACGAGTTGTGTGGTTTCATTGTTTGTCAAATGTCACACTTTTGTTGAAAGCCATTATCGTGCATGATCTGAGAGCTTCCATGAGGAATAAATTAGCTAAAATTCTTCCTTAATCATGTTAATTAAAATCAGTCAAATGTCAGCCACCGCTACCTGTTCTTTATATTATTTTAATAAGCTCTTTGTCAATTTTTGACAAGTAAAGGTGCACCCAAATTCTGATTGTCGGCCACATGTTTAACTCGATCTGTGCCTTTCCAAATTGAATATTCAAATATTTGATCAAGTCCAAGTTGAAATAATCGAATACAATTTTATTTTTTTGGGAAAAGTGCACAGCCCTAAATTTCTTTTCATTGGAATAGTAATGTCATTGAAAGTAAATACAAGGAATCATCCCTGTGCAACGGATGATGATGAACGATTCTAGAAGGTTTCAAAAGTGCATTAGGAGTTTGGGTTAAGTGAAATGGGTTTTTTGATTGCTACAAACTGCAGTGCTATAATTAAATTATGAAATTGAATGTTCCCAGTATATTTTGAGACCTACGGTTGCCAGATGAACGTGAATGACACGGAGATTGCCTGGGCCATATTGCGAGAGGAAGGTTTTCAAAAAGTGGATGACGTCTTAAAGGTACGTTGATGCTCCCTGTAAACCAATAATTTGCCCTAACAGTCCTAAATCCTCTAATATGATTTTGCACACCCCCTACGGAGTTAGGGTTACAATTTGAGACACTACAGGAATTTTAAAGGAAATTTCCAACTTCCTTTCATCCCCATACTTCTTGATTGCTTGGGTCGTGCAAAAAGGGAGAAAATGCACTCATTTTTTTAAACATCAACATTAAGGTCTGTGTTGTTTCTACATTTAGGCTGACGTGATCTTGGCAGTCACTTGTGCAATCAGGGAGAATGCAGAGCAGAAAATCTGGAATCGTCTGGAGTACTTCCAAGCGCTGAAGAAACGACGGCGGAGAAACCAGCCTCCTCTGAAAGTGGGCCTCTTGGGTGAGTGTCAAAAATGATTGCTCGGGAAATGAAGTTAGTCTGCAATACAGTGAAATCTCGATAAGTCAAACTCTGATAACTCCAAAAAACAACTGTTAAGTCAAACAAAGAATCCATTCCATTCAGTAGTATAACAATGATATACAACCCTGCTTAACTCAAAACTCTGCTTAGGTCAAACTTTGAACCTGTTCCCTTGAGGTTTGACTTATCGAGATTTCACTGTATTAGTACATGTATAATTGGTCCCGATTAGCAGGGGAGGGGCACTTAGAGCAGGGCTCGATTTACCCGGGTGCACACATGCACCAGTGCATGTAGATTTTTGCTTGTGCACGTAGCTTTTTTACTGAGCATGCACAATGTGCATGTAACTTTTTTAGCCGCCAAAATACTCATTTCATGCATATATTTACTGTTTACAAATGAGTGAGAATAAGAATAAAGTTTGTTGAATACTTGACCAGTTAGTAGTGTACATTACAAACGTGTTATTTCTTTTATATATCCATAAATTATTCCTCGCGGCAGATTCAGAGTACGTGGTAGAATTTGGCAAGATCGTCCTGCAACTGCCTCCGATCATGCACGTGATTTACCACGTGATACATACCGCTGATAACTTGGTATCGCACTGACGCTCCGGGCATTCCATATGTCCCGATCATAAGTGTGATTCCAAATTATTAGCTGCGTTTATCACGTGGTCTCATTATTGGCCAATCGGACGCCGCCTATCACATGTCCCACATGAAGCAGACGGGTAGCTCGGAGGACTCTGATAATTTTGCACGCAAATGACCCTGGGTACTTGTGTCACTTGTCAGGTTAAAATCCAATTCTACGTTCGTATGGGTTTTCATAGACGGCAAATTTCGTCGAAATGACACATCCTGAACACACGGGAAGGCAAATTTAGCTTTCTATGTGAGTACTCAACATATGTACGAAATAATGTATGGCGGATCAATTTTGCCATGTTCGAAATGCCACAACAGCGTGGCGTTGTATACAACGCCACGTTCACGGGTCTAGGCTTGCCTTGAGCACGATCGAGTAAAAAAAGGCTATTTACTGTACTGTCTGTAGAAAGTTTGATAAATCAAAGAGAAAGAATGCCTTCAGAGAAGCAGACGGGTGTAAGTCAATTATGGTGCATGTGGGTTTTTCTTGGTGCATGTAGGTTTTTTGGTCTACATGCACCAGTGCATGCAACTTTTTTTTTGTAAATCAAGCCCTGACTTAGAGTTGCCTCATCTTGTACAGGTGGCAATCATAGTTTTTAACTAAAGTTCTTTTGGTTTCACCCAAATTTTGAGATGGGGGGGGGGGGAAGGGTGGGCATGTAACTTGTCTCGAGTGTGGGTGAGAACCTTGAACTGCCCACAGCTGCCAGTTTTAAGCCACTGTTTGAGGTTCTGGTTAGAGGCTCCTATGCAGTCCCATAACTGAGCGCAACCAAGGTATCCACTCCTACAATGGAAGGGTTCAAAACATTAAAGGGCCACTTCTTAACGTCACAGTCAAGGGTCTACTGTGGGCTCCGGGCACTAGTACCCCATCAACGACCAGAATAGGAGAGTTGAGGGTGCCCTAGACTGGTTCCCGATCTGTCCACTGCGTATTTCGAATGTGTCCAAAGTTATTGGAGGCGGGGATATGTCTTGGAGGCCATCCAAAGTTGAATTTGAACATATTCGCGCACCGACGACGCCTGACGCTCACGCCAAGATGCGGTGGCTAATAGCTTTTGCACATTCAGGAAGTTGTGCGTACTTCGCGCGCCAACTAATACAGTACGCGCACGCTGTGTGTCCCGTCCGCGGAGCTCACAAAAGAGGTAAAAACACGCCCTCTTTTGTTGGCGCACGGAGCCCATAGCATCCTGCAGTTTTGTTTTTAATCATTCATCCTTCGATGTTACATGAAATACTTGATTCATCTTTCTTTCAATATTAAAATTTCTCTGCACGTTAGGGTGTATGGCTGAGCGTCTGAAGAAAGAAATCTTAGAGCGAAGCAAGATAGTGGACATAGTTGCCGGCCCCGATGCTTACAGAGACCTCCCCAGGCTGCTCTCTGTGGCCCACTCCGGTCAGGCGGCCATCAACGTCATGCTGTCCATGGACGAGACGTATGCGGACGTGGTACCCGTCAGGCTGAATCAGGAATCCAAGTCGGCATTCATGTGAGTATTGCCTCTGCATTTAATATTGATGAAAATTAAAATAATAATAATGTGATGCTTACATGTATATAGTGCTTTATTTCAAACTCTTAAAGTTATAGTCCATCATTTGTAATTTGTGCATTTTGTTCGTTTGAAGCAACAAAAGTGCTCAAAATCTAAAGAAGGGTACTGAACAACTAACCTGATAAAGTTTCAGCTCAGCTTCAGCTGTATATTCTGAGAAAAACAGCATCCTAGGATCCCAATTTCAAATCAAAAGTTGCTGAATCATGTTTTGAATTGCGCCTAAATTCAGCTTCCGAGACACGTTCTCGCTGAGCCGAATGCAGCTACGCGATGTCGCGCACTGATCTGACGAATTATAGCAACCGGGGGTGCGTGTGCGTCGTGCCAATGCTTGCGCGCGCTTCGCCGAATAACAAAACGAACTACTAATTTAAATTTTCCTACGGTGCGTCTTAAGAAGCACCGTTTGAAAGGCCTTCTTTCGTTGAATACTTCAAAATGACAGCTTGCCAGGAAGAATACTTACTATCTTTCAACCAAGTATGTTTTTCAACAATAATTATGTCAGCTACTTTTCGGATAGCTGCAGATGATGGACTATAGCTTTAAAGCACTTCACAATTATTACCCCTGTTCATCAGGCAACAAGACCACTTTTCTGCAGCAGCTCGAGAATGGGGCAACCTGGTCTCTACCCTCACTGGTACCCATGTATACTCTGGGTGGAGAGAGGCAATTGGAATAAAGTATCTTGCCCAAGAACACACGCCCCATGCTCCTCTGTCAGGGTTTGAGCCTGCGTACCAATGTACATGAGTGAGACACCGTAACCATGGGACCAAGCCATGCATTCATGGGCGTCGCGAGGGGGGGGGGCAAGGGGGGGCACTTGCCCCCCCCCCCCTGGAAAAGCAAAAAAAAAAAAAAAAAAGGAAGAAAAAAAAAATAAAAAAAATAAAAATAAACAGAGGCGCGAAGACAAAGTGGTGTAAATTTAATGAGTTGGGGGGGGGGGGGGAATGTCCCTGCCCCCTTCCAAAACTGATAAATCGAGAATGTGTTGAGAAATACAAGCATTTTTTTGGCAAAAAAAAATTTTGCCCCCCTCTAGACAAAATCCTGGCGACGCCCATGCATGCATTTGGATGATAATGAAATATTTACGAAGGTTTTTTCACTCGTTTGAAAGCTCATTACTTAGGTAATGCAAACAAATTCAATTCAATTTGAAACTTTATATTTTTGGCCGTCGTGCCTAGTGCAGCTTTAAAGGGAATATACATCATTTGCTTTTGCTGTAATTTTCAGAAATGAATGGAATTGGGGGGTTGGAAATATATAGCAAATATAATTACACTGACTTTTTTGAGGTTTTGGGTTCGAAAATGCTATAAAAACCAAGAAACACAATCATTTTCCTGTAGTCTGGTTCCCTGACTCCATATAAGAAGAAACGGAGCAGTTTACATACATTGGGGAATTGTAAGGTCAGGAAACCAGTCTAGCTGGCTTGTACCCGTTCATAGGTGTGTAATCGATTGCAAACAAGTGCAATGGTCAATTGGGGCCAGTATTTGAAAAAAAAGCCAGTTTTTTCCAACGCTGGTCGGCCGACCAGCGTTGGAAATTGATACAAAAATACCACTTTTCTTGAAAATGACAGTATACCAGGTGCCATGATCTTACAGGATGCTTTACACTGTCATTCACTAACAGTCCAGCAAGGTATTTCAAAATGATTTGGTAGTTTTATTTTTTGATGTTTGCAAAGGTTGTATTTTCCCTTTAAGCGAGGCCACTGAACCTGAGATCGTTGTACCTTTTACCAACGTTACGTGAAGTGAAGTGACGTCCGTTGAATGCCGTCAGACTTCATCAGGCTGTCAAAGGCCTCCAAGTCGCAGACGTATGCACCTTTGCGTAATTTGACAGTGATCAAATTACTAAATTCCTCATTCCTATCTTGTGATGTGTGTATATCACAAGGCATCCGTCGTTTCTGTTCATCTATTCCTCCCAGTAGATTCCCTTTTGAATACCCACTCTGATCAGAACATCCAAACGACAAAAGCTGTCTTGATATTCATAAATTGAGTTATCCTTGAATGGCCAACATCACAATTAACGTACATGTACAGTTCTTTCATGTAATTTAATTAAGTTGCTATTTTTGTACAAAATCAATATAATTGAGTTTGACTGTAACAAACTGACAAAAAACTAATCATTGAAAAAAAAAAAACCGCATTTGAAGAAAAGCTGCACTGCAAAACAAGAGTCACGATAAGTTGATTTGCCAACCTGTTCAATTTGTTCATTTCGTTCCAAGGTTTTTAAGATTAGTAAAAAAACCCAAAAACCTGGTAGCATAAACAGCAACTTAAGGCAGCCATATGTACTCAAGCAGGCATACAATTTAAAAACCCACCCTCGTAGACTTACCAAATACATATATACCAATAAGCAAGTATGGTAAAGTGCCTTGCCCAAGGACCTAAGCATTTCATACATACATAAGATTCAAATGCCTGTTGCCAAGCTACAGTTATAATGGAATCATTCACTAGTCACTCAACAGTCAAATCACAAGTTAGCATCAGTTGATCGTCCCCACCTGGGTCCTTTTTTGAAGTCACATCCTTTTATTTTAAATTTTTCTTCTCAACTCCAAAAGCTATTTTTTTTTATCATGCATAAAACATGTATAAATTGGGTAAAATACACAGAACATTGTTTATAAATATTTGACGCTACTTACTAGTAGGATAGCTAATAAAAAGGTGGAGGTCATTTTGAACTGATAAGTTGGTGGCCATTTTTAATTTAAATACATGGCGGCCATCTTGGAAAAAATAAAAAACAAAAATCCCCATATCCTCCACTTTTTGAAGAAATCCGGACAATCAACTGGGTTTTCTTTGTACTTGGCCTAATATGTAACAGAGGAGGAAAAATATTAAAACAAAGGAATGTCTTTTACACGGTTCATTGGAATCATCTTTTTGCACATGACTGTTGAGCGGCTTGAGACTGACTTGTAATTGAATTGTGAATACTGGATTACGTCTGAGCCTGTCTGCCTGTGAAAGTGCAAATAATTAAGTCACAACCACTGAAAGAATTGAAGTCTAGACTGTCAAAGCACTTCCCGTTGTCTTCAAGTCACTATCCATGTGCACAAAAGTCCATGACCTGAAGTTACCCTAACCCTGCGGAATGAATACAGGATGAGTAAAATAAAAAACAAAACCCAAATGGCAGGAACAATTTTTGTGTGAAGTTTTGCCTGTAGCACTTTCAGAATCTCAGGTATGAAAGCCCAGTCATTAAGCTTTCTTTTAGTACAAGAATCATTCAAATCACTCATGTACTTTTGAAAACAATTCTCATAGGGATGCATGTGAATTGTTTTCATTGTGCCGAAAGAATACTTACCTTTTTTGTGATCTGTGGACAGAACTTGAAAACGGTGTTTGTGTTCAAAATTCTGTTACTTGAAAAGTACATGAGTGATTTGAATGATTTTTGTTCTAAAAGAAAGCCCAATCAATGAGCTTTCATATCCTAGATTTTGAAAGTGCTGCAAGCAAAACTTCATTCAAAAATTGGTTCTGCCATTTGGGTTTCGTATTTCATATTTTTTTTTACTCACCCTGTAGAATACTTGAATGTTATTGAAGTCGGGAACAAAAAAAGCCTTCCTGTCTGTTATATCTATTGGTATAGCCCGTGGGGTCCTCCCCTCCCACAAAGTCCCATTTCCCCCTGAGGTGCCTTCCACAAAAAAACCCATACATTTAGTTCCCCCAACATTTAAACGCAGGTTGCCCCCCCCCCCCCCACAACTAAAAACATCCTGGCTTCGGCACTGGTTGTATCCTGTAAGATTCAGCAAGTTTTGCTCTTGGCTGTTGTTGGATTCAGTTTGATTTAGCGTTGCCCTCGAGAAAAACCCGAAGGGATTAACAGATTGACAGAACTCAACTTTTGAAATACGAATCTGCTCTCCGTCTGTTTTGTCCGCACTCTAGCTCCATCATGCGAGGGTGCGATAACATGTGCAGCTACTGCATCGTTCCCTTCACTCGAGGCAGAGAGCGGAGCCGACCGATATCTTCAATTCTAGAAGAAGTCAGGATTCTCTCAGATCAGGTAGACGAATGCAAAGCTCAATTGTGATGCGATCAAGCTAAGTGAGTCGTTGTCGGGAGTTTTCATTTGGAGATGCAGGCCAAAATAGGGCCACTCCATCACATCACTTCATCACATCTCTTGGTGTTCCAACTTCCATAATTTTTGAACTAAAGATGGTATCAGCATGCGGTTTTCACAGCAGTAATGCTGAGATTGTGCTCTTTTCAAATCTGTAATAAAAAAAATTTGACCAGGGTCGACAAACGACTCAGTTAGCTTGATTGCATCACAATTTTTCAGCTCTGCTGGTATTTTCTTAGCATTTTCCAGCATTTTGCATTCTGCAGCAGACCAGAAGTTTGACAATAATTTTGTTGAAAACTCTTATATAAGGTTGTTAGTTGTTATATAAGGTTCGTCATCTCAACTGAACCATGCGTACTGCACACGGTGTAGCATTCCACAAATGGAACCGGAAGTTAATGCAACTTGAGTGTTTAACCAATGGACGCTTGTAAACAGAGGTCCGTGCGCGTGTAGGACAAAGTCACGTACGAACCAGATAGATGTTAATATGCAAATTTGGTCCAGGGTCAGGACAGATTTCTTAATAGATCTTGCTACAGCATGGTAGAAAATTGCTTCATTTGTAACCACATTAAACTAGCCTCCCAATAATTTAAAACTTTTTTTTCTTCATGAAATCAATTTACAATTAAAAAAAAAGTTGACAGAAATAATCCTGTTGTTCCCAGATTTTGAAGTACCCACTTTAAAATATGAACCCTTACTAAAAGGAGAGCGACATATTTAAGATGCACGTATCTTGGAGGTACAATTACAAACCCTCATTAGCTGTTCTTGCACTTTCTAACCCACAGGGTGTCAAGGAAGTGACGCTGCTCGGCCAGAACGTCAACAGCTACCGTGACACCTCAGAGGCGACCTACTACGGGCACGGGACAGCCCCTGATACAGCCGACCCCTCCACCCACCTGGCCAGGGGTTTCAGCACCATCTACAAGCCCAAGACGGGCGGCCGGCGCTTCGCCGACCTCCTCGAGAAGGTCGCCCAAGTGGACCCCGAGATGAGGGTGAGGTTCACCTCGCCGCACCCCAAGGACTTCCCTGACGAGGTGTTGCACCTGATCCGAGACTGCGACAACATCTGTAAGCAGGTCCACATGCCGGCGCAGAGCGGTAGCACGGAGGTCCTGAAGAGGATGCGGAGAGGGTAAGAGACACACGGTAAAAGGTACCGAGAGAGGCACATTATAATTGATTGAGGGGAACAGATTGTTAACAATTATCTGAGATATATATGACATGAAGCTTTGCATGGCGGATGAGATAAATTATAATGTTCGCGGGTAACACCATGTGGAAAGAAAGAAAAGTGTGGTTCTGAAAAGAACCGGTTGGTTGAGTGTAGAACTCAACGTTTCGGACAGTGTGCTCTGTCCATCCTCAGGAGGGTGAGTGATGAGATGTGGATGATACAGGAGGTTTTATGGCTGTGCGTGTGCAGTGGGGTATGACTGGATGCTTGGGCGCTGGGGTGTGTCGGATGTAGGATGCTGGATGTGCTCTCATTTCTGGCAATGAAACCAAGGATTCCTCAAAAGCGCCCCAGGCACTGTAGCTCGCAAGCCTGAAGAAACCTGTGGAGAGAAGACAATGGGAAGAAATTACAGTTTTAGAGTTGGGAGGAAAAGCCCAGAAGAATATTCTGGGGAAAAACCCACAGAATCAGGTAGGGACTGAAAACCCAATCCACCGTGTGGGATTCACATATTGCTCTGAATATTGACTTCCTATTAATATTTTCATGTTATGACGATTAAAAATGTCATTTGTTGCTGGCATATTTTTGATAACACTGTTCTCAAATCTTGTCAATATTTTCATATTTTGGTTATTTCTGTACAGCTACACGAGGGAGGCATACCTGGATTTAGTGGCACACATCCGGAGCACAATTCCACAGGTATCCCTCAGCAGTGACTTCATCACGGGATTCTGCGGCGAGACAGAATCCGAACACGAAGACACCCTGTCCCTTCTACGCTTGGTCCGCTACAACTACGCCTTTCTGTTCGCCTACAGCATGAGAAAGGTATATAAAATAAACACCACAAAAAAACAAAAGTCCACACTCATCGGAGGGCCATAATTTAAATCCAATCGTCTTATGATGACGCCATTTAAATAGACCGTTGGGTAATTTTGTTAGCTACATTTTGATACCCCGTTTGCTACCAACGACTGTAAAGTGTCCAAGATTGACAACGGTTTATGAAATATTATGCAGTTTGAAAAGTTGCAAATTTAAAGATTACACAAGGAGAAAATGCTAAGCGCAAAACATGCCCGTAATTGGCCCCTATCGACAGACACAGTGCCTGAACAAAGCGCGGGTAATTCAATTTCGTGTGCTGCCATGCACGCAAGCACATCGATATTTCCTGCCGTTCATTTCAGGGCAGTGTAACATTGTCACACAGCAATTCCTCTCGCGTACTCTTTAAATTTGCAACTTTTCAAACTGCATCGTTTTTCATAAACCATTGTTAATGTTGGACGGTTTACAGCCTTTGGTAGCAAGCGGGATATCAAATTGTAGCTAATAACATTCCCAATTGGTCTAAGTAAATGACTTTATCATAAGACGATCATATTCAAAATTTTCTTTTTTGGCGGTGTTTTTCATGAAACACCAGTTAAAACAAATTATAGGTTTTGCCTTTCACGGACGTATAAACACTGTATACTCAGTGTGTTACCTCCCGAGTGAAAGTTGGAAAAAATCACTCGGGTGGGACTCAAATCACGACCTCCTGCTTTCTAGTGCAGATGTCTTACCACTCGACCACCGAGCTTACGGGATCGGCTGGCTAGTTCGAATCTGACGTACATAGCAGCGGGTACCGCATAAACTATTATAAGATGGAATTTTGGCAAATGGAAGGGCAAAACCTATAATTTGATTTATCACCCCGACGCAAAAAAAAATCCCATGTTATAATAGAAACACCAGTTGTTCTTTGCATTAATTTAAAAGCAAAGCAAATATGTCGTTGGGTAATACTGATCGACAAAATGAAACTGCAGTCGATCACACAATGACGTTTACTTTATTTCTATGAAAGATGCACCGCCTGTAATGTTGATTTTAGAGTCAAACAAGAATTTGTGAAGCGTAAAGGTTCACTGTTTTTAGGCTGGTTGCATTACCTCGTGGAGTTCACTTTGTATCAGGCGAACCTTGATGCAGATTTACACTGACAATATCTTGCAATATTTTTGCCCCGTGATTTTGTTTTGAACCGAATGTCATTCAAAAAATTAATAACTCAGCACTGCTGTTCCGTTTGGTTGCAATATTCCATTAAAAAAAAAAATCTGGTTATGAACAGCTGGTATGCAGTGATGCGTAAATTCCAGTGTTGCATCGATATCTGATCGGGCAGTATGAGTGTTCATTGCACAAAATCCATCACAGAGTCCTTTACTTCTGTCATATATAAAGAATTTAATAATCCTGATTGTTCACGTGCAATGGACCATGAAACTTTTCATTTTGGATGTTAACACACTGTGACACGCACATGTCAAAAAACTGAAATGAAGTGCACTGTATTGTGTAATATACTTTACAAATTCCATACTTTATTTTTTGGCCGAACCCACACTACAGTGCGTAAATGGGCTTTATATATTTTGTGTTATATTTGTGGAACGGCACTCAATGTCGTAGTCCTATAACCATCCGATTTGCTTACAGTGCAAGCACACAAACTCCGTGCCAACCATAAGCACAGAATCCTCAGCCACAAAAGAAATTTGGATGAGCAAAAGCCACCATTTCTTATTAATACTCATAAAAATCCCGGGCTGTTTGTGTGGAATTTTGAGGCGTAGTAGCGGAAATTATTCGCATGGTTATAGGTGCGCAGTGACAATGACGTTCTGTAGACCTTGATCATGCTGCCACCATTTGAGTCATGTTTCTGTATCCAATAACAGTACTGAATGATAATATTTTTGGTGCAAAAAGAAACCAGACTATTTTTCCTTCAAGCCTCGCTTTGGTTACGTTGATTTAAATGGGTAAAAAATCAAGATGGTCGCTACATGATAATGGCCTATTGTCCTTCACTATCGGCACTTTGTCATTTTCAACATTGAGTAGGTACTGGTACTTACAAGTGAATACAGCCTTACAGTGGGGCGCTGTGGTCCATTGGTTACGGTGTTCGACTCGTGTGCCGTGGTACACGGGTTCGAATCCTGACCGTGGGAACATGGTGCTTGTGCTCTTGAGCAAGACACTTTACCATTATTGCTCTGTTCTTCGGATGGGACGTAAAGCCGTAGGTCCCGTGTGTTGTGTAATGCACGTTAAAGAACCCAGTAACACTTGTCGCTAAGAGGAGGGGTTTGCCTCGGTGTTTCTGGTTGTGGCAGCAATTATGCGCCGCAGCACCTAGCAAAAAAGGTGCTACATAATGGGTCTCATATGTTCATATACTTCATTTACCTGGCTTTGGTTGCATTCTCCCCCAGCGCTTTGTATTCTCTGGCAAAAAGCGCTATATAAATACAGTTATTATTATTATTATTATTATTATTACACAATCTGGCGGCAGCCATTCTCTGTGGTGGCACCAGCCTCGCACGAGTCACGCTCAGGTGGTACGCACGCACTCCGGGCTCCTTTAACCAATAGGAATACCAAAATGCTCATGCGCCTCGCCTCTAAGAACGCGTGCAGCATGCGCGTGAGCGTGAGCGTGACACCACCGCAGTAAGAGCTTCTAATTCTGGTCGCCGGATTCCACTCCACTTGTGGGGAAGACCTTTGTTTCCCTTCGTTTGTTCTCCGTTGTTCCTATTGAAATCTCAAACTTGTTTCCTTATGGGGCAGAAGGATTTCTAAAGACTTCCTTGTGGGGGATTGTGTTTTGTACCCCATGAGGAACCCTGTACATAAGTCCATACCTGTATCTATAACCTGGGCCCAATTTCATAGAGCTGCTTAAGCACAAAATTTGCTTAAGCACGAAAAAAAATTGCTTAGTAAAATCACGTAACCCGCCAAAACTCCATGCGATGTACATTGCTTGTGACTGGTATTTAGCTGTTGTTTACTTAGCATAACAATCGAGTGGAGTTTTGGCCGGTAACCTGATTTTATTAAGCAAGATTTTTTTGTGCTTAAGCAAATTTTGTGCTTAAGCAGCTCTATGAAATTGGCCCCATAAGCGACACAAACCAAACTACCTTGGCTTTAAAATCCTCTGCTCTCCCCAGAAAACCCACGCCTATCACCGGATGCAAGACGACGTCCCTGAAGAGGTGAAGCAGAGACGATTGCGTGAAGTCATAGCGCTGTGCAGGGAGGGCATGGCCGAGGCGAATGCTGAACAACTGGGCCGGCGGCAGTTGGTTCTTATTGAAGGGGTAAGTTCATATAAGACTATTGAGTGGGCCAACTTTACACAATAAGACTTCAAGCGTATGCAACTTCGAACTGGCCAGCTGACCTTGTTGAGGTCAGAGGACCAATGGTTAAGACTTCTGCACTAGCAAGCAGGAGGTCATGGGTTCCAGTCCAACCTAAGAGCAACCTTTTGACTCTCTCTTCTAAGCTCCTAGACGCTCCTTTTAAAAACGATGTCAATGTAGAGAAAAACCCAGTAGTAAATATACCTGTAAGTCCAACATGGACTCAAGTGTAATTGACCTATCGTGGTAGAATCACGTTACAATCGCGCCAACACAGCTTGTGAAATATTGTCCAATTACATGATATACAAATGGGCACGGAATGCGCAACATCTGAGACAAACAAAACTTAGCGTACAAAAATTCCATAGGGTTGTCTAAGGGGCGTGGCCAACTCACAAATGGCAAAAGGTCAATTTGATCCTTAAACTGTCCTTTTTAAATTTTTACTCTTCCCATTTGATTCAGTAGCTTGCATGATGTTCGAACAAGATCAGGTGGCAATAAAAATGGTTACAAGTTAAAAACAAATAATCCAAAAATTAAGACCTTGCTCTTTAAATCTGTAAATGAAAAATGATAGTGCACGTTCCAGAAAAGGGTCTTTGAAAAACTGATTCTTAGGAAACAGCTCGAGTGTAAAAGGAAATGAAATCATGTCCTTGGTCAGAAAGACTGCATCTAACGTTTGAAACTTGTTGGCCGTTAAAAACTTAAAAGTAATTTTTCCATTGGTAGCAGGGCCCATTTTCTCAGAGTTTTTGCAGACAATATGAAGGACTAGATGTAAACATTTGAGACTTTTGGAGCCTTAAGATTAATTCCCCAAGTGGCAGGGCCCAATTTTATTTGGAGTTGCAGAAAAATATTGCTCAGCATTTTGATGAGCTAAGCACGAATTATCTGAGTAACCAGTGACAATCAGTGCATAGGGCATGCAAATTTCATCGGTTAACTGTGTTTGCGGCTTAGCAAAGTTGTCTTGCACTTAGCAAGTTCCTGTTCCAAAGAAATTGGCCGCAGGTGTTTGGGATACTAATCGGTGCGCCTAATGGCATCGACCTTGCTGATTTGACCGACTCTTCCCCGCCTTGATGTCTGCGTCCGTACCAGTTGACTGTCCGTCTCAGCTGCGCAGCCCATCGGACTTGATTGAATCATGCGTTGGCGTTTGACATTGATGTGGGGTAATTGGATTGGCAATATTAGGACAAGGTGTCATGTGTGTAGTGTAATAGCTCCGTGCATGATCGATTGAGGGCGCTTTACAGGTTTTATTTGGGGCCAAATTTCATGAAATTTGCTAAGCACAGAAAATATATGCTTAGCGAAAACAGGTTACCAGGCAAAATGTCATGAAATGTATATTGCTTTTCACTGGTTCTCTGCAGATTTTTGCTTTGCACATATACTTACTAAGCCAGAACTTTTTTTCGTATTCTTGAGACCACTCACTTTTTTCAAAACTTCGGTCATTCTATAAATTCAGGGTCCAAAGTGTGACCTTTCTCCCTATCCCTGTTTTCTTGGTACTTAGCAAGTTGCCATTCATGTATCATTTATCCTAACCACCTCCAACCCTTCAAATTCCAACTGCATGTTTTGTTGGAATCTGTTGGAGCGAGTACAGTAAACTGATTAACCTTTACATGGGGTCAGGCATGCAACCATAATCAGAGTTTAGTTTACCATAATGGTATTGGATTTTGCAAGAGTGAGGACGGATCCTAGCAAATCACTGAAGGGATTAGGATTCAGAATGACTTCAAACTATTTTATATTTTGTTGGGTAGGAAGTTTGCTATTCATAATCACTCTTGGAGGATGACTGCATTAAAGAGTGCATCAGAATTATAAAATCATAGATGTCAGATGTAACAGGGACAGAAAAAAAAGTGGACCCCTAATTAATAGAATGACCAGTATTCGAATTGAGCAAATACTATTTGGACATTTCTATGATGATTGAATATTCAGTATATTTGGCAGTAATTTTCAGTCTCCATCCATAGCCTGGTGAAGCTTGGTACAAAAAGTGAAACCATTTCCCTGAACACTTACATGTATTTCCTGACACATTCATATATATATTTGTATGGCATCGGTTTTATTGGGTGCTTAGCGTGGAAGGAAAAGACCAATTGACAGTGTAAATGTTCACTCAGTGTCTCTGCCTCGGTCGGAGTAGAAGTGCGTTGGACTGTCGATCATGATCCACTCGCAAAATGTCACCGTGGTGGAAATACACGTAGACACCCACTTGCTTTCACAAAGTGCAAGGACGTGTTTGTTTCCTGTCACATACTCAGTCTTTAATAAGTTGGTTTCTGATTTGTCGGGGTTCGAGATTGGGTTGGAAGAAATTTGGTCCGCACAGGAAACCCATTGAGACACACTGGTGACCACTTAACCGGCATGTTGCAGATAATGTTTACGTTTGCCCCCCCCCCCCCCATCATTAAATCAATCGTGTTTACATTTTCTGTGACTATTTTGTATTCCTGTCCTTCGCTAAATGCAACATTTAATGAAATTAGCAGATGTCAGGCGGACATGTAATTTTATTACGGCATGTGACGGGGCGACGGCAAGCAGACAGATTTCCTAGTGATGTGATGCTGTCAGGCTTCAGTTGTCCAAAATATGGAGAATATTGAACCATTTGGAAGATAGCTGCGCAATAAGTGTCCAACAGCTGCTTCCGTTAACTGTGCACATCAGCTGGTGTGCTCAACATGGACTTTATATATTTTGTCCCCCCCCCCCTCTCAAAAAAAAAAAAAACACCCAAAAAAATCAATTTCCTGGGAATGGCTAATTTGGAAAACAATGTTCAGAGAATTCTGAGAAAGCAATTGAAAAGTCCCCCCCCCCCACAAAAAAATTAAAAATCCCTGAAATATTAGGACTTGTAAAAAAAAAGGATTGTCACTCTTGTTTCGTTAAACTCAATTATCCCTAAAAATCTTTACTTTTAGGAAAGATTGTCTAATGTCATGGGTCTTTTTTGATGATTTTCATTTTCGGATTATCATTAATATTTTCAGACTTGACAAAATGTTCCGTATTTAATGTATCACCCTGACAAAATAGATCATCAGCAGAAGCAAATATTGGAGTTGGACTGCGTACACAATTCATCAGTCAACACAGATTTCTTTCACATAATGATTGACTTTCCTTTACATCAGGGAAATACTTTGATGAAAGAGAGAAAAAAAAATAATAAGGAGAGAGTCGGGCAGGCGTCCGTCCGTAACTAATAGCTGCTGGCTGCGTACATAAAACCAGAATAAGGTTATCGCAACGCAAAACGACTTAGAGCAGCTACACGACCTCCCTAAAGCCCATGGGATCTGCAGTAATTGCCAGAATCCATAGGGGAGAGTGTTGGTGTGGGCTGGGCCGGGCCTGCTGATATGAGGGATGATGTTTCAATGTTATCGTGGGGATTTCATTAAATAAGCTGTCGCTCTGAACACCACATTTAATCACCAGGGACGATGGATAGGACGATATATTGCCTGGTTACCCATGAGCCTCTAACGACTGTTGACATATTATTGAAAAGCCTAAAGACTGTCTGGCTTTTTTTCAAGATATGTGCAATTTTATTTTCCAGATTTTAATATGTATCTATTTTTGTCGAAGATTGACAAATATCTTATGAAATTCATGTGACGTATTCCGGCAAAAATGAAACGGAACTCAGCATCCGTCGAAATGAAGGTTTTGCGGTCATGAGAAAAAATACAATACTATGTATCGCACTTCAATCAGACCTTCTGTTGACAAGTTATGGCTGTCTAAAGTTCAAATTTATCGACATGTCCAAAACTGAAATACTGAGAAAAAGGCCTTTAATGTTTCGAGTTTTGTATAATGAAAGATGCAAATTGCTTTTCCTTAAAACGTTTTTATTCAACAATTCTTATTACTTTTTAGAATATGTGTAGTAGACGTGTCAAAGAGTACAAATATCAATAAATGGAAAGAAAAAAAATTACCCCATTCAGTTTTTTTGGCCCAGTTCCGTCCCATTTTGCCAGAACGCCTGACATATAAAGAAAAGGCAGCTGAATGGCTGGTGTTTGACTAATTTTCAAGATGAAATTTGAGCAAATGTTATGCATAGAAGCCCTCCAATGGTGCGCGAAAGTGGATTTTGACTGAAAAAGTGTAGCATTTGACAAACTTTAAAATCCATGCAACTGGAACACCGCTGACGTCTTTTAATATGTAGCTTGCAAGTTGCAGATTAAAAAAATTCTTTTTAGAAGATCTGACAGAATTGAAGGCTATTTCTTTAATCGGACCCGATACCGGGCAAGTACGAACCTAAGACAATCTTTGCCCGGGCAGGCGTTAAGTCAAACAAATTACCATTAAATTGTTGTCACGTTCGATGAATATTTATAAGCAGTATTGGCTACCTCGGGTGCCCTTCACAATCTCACAGGCAAACAGACGTGATCGCCCAGCCGTTATGGCCCTTGCATTTAAAGCTATAGTCCATCATTTGCAGCCATCCGAAAATTAACTGGCGTAATTATTGTTGAAAAACAAACTTGGTTGAAAGATAGTAAGGGAACTAAACTCCCTGTGAAATTATTCTTTCTGGGAAGCTGTCATTTTGAAGTAATCAAAGAAAGAAGGCATTTCCAATGGTGATTCTTAAGAAGCACTGTAGGAAAATTTAAATTAGTAGTTCGTTTTGTTATTCAGCGCAGCGCGCACAAGTATTGGAACGACACACGCGCGCGCGCGGTTGTTGTAATTCGTCGGATCAGTGCGCGACGTCGCGTATAGCTGCAATTCAAAACATGATTCAGTAACTTTTGATTTGAAATTGAGATCTTAGAATGCTGTTTTTCTCGGAATGTACAGATGAAGCTTAGCTGAAACTTCATCAGGTTAGTTGCTCAGTATCCTTCATTAGATTTTGAACTCTTTTGTTGCTTCAAACGAACAAAATGCACAAATTACAAATGATGGACTGTAGCTTTAAGATTTTGGTCAAGGAGAAAAATGTAAGTCTGGATCACATGTACAAATGCTGGCAGGGGTATCGATTTTCAATTAACTACTTCATTTAACATGAAGAACATATTCTCGTTTTCTACAAGGCTGTGCACTTTTGATGAACCTCTGGTTTCAATTTCAGAAAGAATTAAGGCCAAAAAACAAAATAATAAATAAAAAAAAACCACGAGCACTACAACCTCATAAATATTCCTATTTGGTGAACGGGATTACACTTTTAAAGGTACGTACACATAGGAATATTTGTAGTTACCCAGAAATGTACCTACTGATGTTAAAGAGAAAATTCTTGTGTACAAAGTGTACAAAACACCCTGTGAAATTATTCTGCCTGAAATGGTATCGTTTGGAAGAAAACAATCATTGAAGATGGTTTAAGAAAGTGTGCCGGCGGTCACAGTTTATTTTAGGTGCGTTAGCAACAGAACAAGTTTTGAGACCAAAAAAATTGTGCATACAGAACGTTTTCTCTGTTTTCTCAAAATAGATAGTATCCACTGAGCTGAAACTTCAATAAGGTAGCTGTTATGCACCCCTTGTGCAATTTTGTTGCTTCAAACGAAAAAAAAATATATTCACAAAGCCTTGTACCTTTAAGCCGGAAATTGTCCCAGCTATTTATTCAGCAATGCCGAGCTTTTAGAGATCGCTTTGAGTTTGGGGGTAACAGTATCCTCGTTCCTTATTAACTGCTCTAACATGCCATGTTTCGATAGTATTCATCAGAACTTGATATTGCATCTCACAGCCCCAGGCATGTGCACACGATATTGTTAGCGATCTATTTTACTATAAGTTTCATAAACATTGTCGAATTGAATTTCTGCTTTTTATAACTCGCTTTCCATGAATTTTTCGTTTCAGTTCCCGTTTTGACTGTAAAATTGATTTGCTGGCCAAAAAATATCTCAAAAGTTTTGAAAGCACCTCATAAGATGTTTTGTGGACAAATATCTGTATTCATATTTATTCCTCAGAGTTTCCTCAACCAATCTATAAAAAATTTTGTATAAATTTTTATAACCGTGTATTTACACAAACACAACTGTATCCCTCCCCTGGAAAAAAAAAACCCATCCACAAAATTTACTGCAGCAGAAAGACAAATTATATGATGTGGACCTTAAATATAAAGAAAAAAATTCTGCCTGTCTTGCTATTGTATATCAAGTTTCTGGCCATTGAATGAAATGAACTTGAAGAAAAAAAAGTGGCAGTGCCTTTATGTGCAATAAAGAGGAAGTTGTAATTAAAAATTGGGAGTGTGTGGCCTAGTGGTTAGGGTTCATGACTCATGATCAGAGGGTCCGGGGTTCCAATCCAGCCGCTGGTCATATATTGTGTCCTTGGGCAAGGCACTTCACCCCCACTTGCCCCTCTCCACCCAGGAGTATAAATGGGTACCGGCATTAGCTGGGGTGTAACCTGCGATGGACTAGCATCCCATCCAGGGGGAATAGAAATAGTCTCAGTCGTTTCATGCTACTGAAACCGGAGATAAACGCCGGCCTGATGGGCCACATTGGCTCGGGACAGACTTTACTTTTTACTTTTTTACTTTAATTAAAAAAAATGAAGTAACCCAATGGTTTTTTTTTTTTACATCTTTTGTGCTTCTATTTCTGAAGTACCGGTATTTTATTTGACTGCGTTGTTGTAAGCTTGTTTGAAATGGAACTTCCGTGCCGCGATTGTCCGTTTTCCGCCAATGATTGGTATTGAATTTCAATTTGATAGTAGGGAAGAATGAAATATGATAAACCTTGCAGCGAGAAAAGGTGATTATCACCTCGGTCATTATCCCACAACGAAACAAAAAAGATGCAGTTAGCGCTTGCGGCACCAAAGACGCTTGAATTTACTTTTTTAAACATCTCTTCCCGAAAAGAAATTCATAATAGCCGCGGTTGCGATGAACAAACGCGCACATGTGAATACCTTCCTATTAAATTTTTTTAGGTGTGTGTGCATTTTTTTTTCTTCAAATGGATTGAAAGTGCTGGCCAACAATGGGCGAGTTTTTTTTTTTAATAGTGACCATAGACTGAAGGGAAGCGTGTTGAATTGTCCGAAAGCCACACTGGCTGTTCTCCCGAATAATGGATGCTCTTGTGAAGTCCTTTGTGTGTGGTTTCCTCAAACGTTGCGCCGTGACCCTTTGTTGTTAATTTTTCTATCAATTTACGAGGCCTTAAATGTGTACCCACTGGCAATTTTCTTTTCAAAAGACCCTTAATTTATTTATCATAACTTAATTAATTGTGTGTGTGCATTGTGACTAATATTTGTAAATACACTTAATATAAAATGTAGGGGACAAAGCAGCGATGTCGTTTTAGCTGCTACATACATTGCTGCAACACAGCTGCAGAAAGTGCGTAAATGTCATTTTGGGTTTCGTTACAGTGTTTTGGGAAAAAATCCTTTTGATTTCTGTTTGAAAAGGGACGTTCTTTCTTTGTCTAAGCTATGGGAAAGTGTTTTAAACAACGATTCATTTTAGTATCTTCTTGATAGGCCCTTAAGGCCGTTCATGCCGGTGTGAGGCGAATTTTAGGTCAGGAAACATTCCCCGCAAAATCTGCCAGAGTTAAAATGAGTTCAACTTTTGCAAAGTTGCAGCTGGGTCTGTCCACACTAACGGTTACAACTTATAACGTTATGGGTGAGATATGGGAGGTGGATTTCAAAGCAGGTTTTTTGCTAATTTTTGTTTTTTGAACATTCCTGTATTATCCGTGATTGCACTGATAAATAATTAGGCTGATTCACTGGATATGTAGGCAACTACTCGGCCATCTTTAAGATGAAATGAAGGATAATGTTCATAACATGGACGGACACTCTTGATTCATGCTATAGGTGTTTGTTATAATATATCCTGGCCATGTTCCATTTATATATTACATATTCAACGAAGAATTAGCATCCTTCAACATTAAAGCAACCTGTTAAGTATTTATGAAATTATGATGCGACTTGATACATGTTCATAACATGGACAGAAATTTGTGACAAATTTCTGTCCCTGTTATGAACATGAAGTCTTGAAGATTTGTACATCCTTTAGTTAAAAATACCCAGAGGTTTAACCTGAGATTGGCCAGTGGCAATCTCTCAATGGGTAGCTTTATAGTGGGAACAAATTTGGGATAATTCATGTATTTTATTTACTGCTTCCCACCACTTAAAAATGAAATGTCTGTCCGTGTTATGAACGTTAAATCTTGAAGATAATCCTCTGTAATTTCTCGAAACCTGAGAAATTGATCAAACTTGTTGGTGGGCAATGTTCTTACCAAGATATTGGATGAAGAAAGACAGAAACCTTAACCTATTACTTCATGTATCGACTCCTGTCCATGGTTCCCTCTAAATGTCACACTTTTGTAACAGTTAGTGTGGACAGACCAAGCTCCAGTCACCAGTGCTTGCCGTGTCGTCACGAATTCGCATTCGCACTCACTTTTGCACCGAGTATGAACCGGCCCTAGTAAGACTGTAAGGCAAGGGGCAAGGTAGATTTAATCAAGCCAACACGTGAGAATTGACCATTTCAAATTCCTTTTATAGTCACCCTGATTAAATTTGAAATGTCACAGGCAACTGACCTATTGCCGTTTGCAAGTTAGCCACGCCCCGTTAGACAACCCATCAAATTTTTGTACACTAAGTTTTGTCAAGTCTCAGATTTTGCACGTTCCGCGTCCATGTAATTGGACAATTTCTCAAGCTGCATTGACGCGATTCTAACGCGATTCTACTGCGAAAGGTCCTTGACTTGTCTTGTCAGACATAAGTCTGTTGTAATGTTGTGTCATACAGTCTTTTGTCCTGACAGCTCAACACTCTATCTGAATTGAAGATAGAAAGAACGCATGACACTTTGTTGGGGAAGTGCTGGCTCACACCCGGAACCTTTGCTAAACAGATGTTCTAAGTTGATTTGAAATATGCTTAGATTTGGGAATGTTTTGTGCAGATATGAAAATTCTCACAGATTTGAACACAGCTAAAGTAGTTCTTGAAATCTGTTAAGCAGATCTAGAAATCTGCTAAGCAGATCTAGAAATCTGCTTAGCAGTTTTGGGAATCACTTCAAAGTTAACCAAGAAATCACCTGAACTGATTGAAATCTGCTAAGCAGATTTAGGAATCAGTTCATATTTAACCTAGAAATCACCTGAGCTGATTGAAATCTGCTAAGCAGTTTTGGGAATCAGTTCATAGTTAACCTAGAAATTACCTGAGCTGATTGAAATCCGCTAAGCAGTTCTGCCGAGCATCTGTAATAATGCGATTAATGATTTGTCTGCGAGTGTGAACTACTACTTTGAATAACTTCATTTTCAATATTGTTTCAGCTTTGTTTAACATCTGGGAGTTCTGAGTTACCAATAGCAACATTTTAACTAGTCTGTGTTCATTTCATCCCAGCTCATAAAAAAAACTTTAACATTTCTTCTTGCTCAGGTCAGTAAGAGGTCAGATGAGGATCTAGTCGGACGGAACGACGGAAACATTAAAGTTGTTTTCCCCGACGTTAAAGTTCCCTGCAGTATAAGCGATAAATCCTATTCTACATCACTGAAACCTGGTGACTACGTAGCAGTCCATGTAAGTGATAACCTGGTGTTTCCCAAGCCACGGCCTCGTCTCCGACTTTGGCTGTATCATTTGCTCCAGCATCATTAAAGCTGCAAGTACCCCCCCCCCCCCACCCAGCCATCCTCCTTCCCTAGCTAATCCCTCCTCTGTTGTTTTTCCTTCCACTCTTGCATATTTGTGTGTTCCCAACTTGTTTTTCTCCTTACCCCAGCCATTTTGCCTTTAAATGTCCTTCCAGGTTCGAAAACCTTATGCCCACCAACTGTTTTATTTGTATATTTCAGGTCAGTAGGTCACATTGAGCTGGGCTGCCCAACTTGAGGACCTTAAAATTCTCGAAGCCAAACTCACAGACTCGGCAACGATTTCGAGCCCCAATTCTCATCAACAAATACAAATGCTGTTGCCTGAAACAACATTGAAATTTGTAAAAAAAATAGTGTAAATAAACATTTTGCTGGTACAATAGAAGTGAAACTGATACTTTCATAACATTGACAGAAGGACGAATAAAAACAGGTTAAATTTTATGATTTGCAGTTGTAGGCGTGGTTTTATATACTCCTTCAATCTTTTATTGCTTGGTAGATTGACAGCTGTAATTCTCAAGTTCTGAAGGGAAGTCCCCTGTACCGCACCACCCTGAAAAATTTCCACCGCACTGAGCAAGCGGCTGATGCCTGGCACTCTGCAGAAGTCAACAGGTAGCCAGGGTTTCTTATATTGTTTTGTTGTTGTTGTTTCATATGATCATCGCACACAAAAGTAAAGAATACATGTGAGGCGTTTGGAAAAAACTGAGACCCAATGAGCACAGGCTGTAGTAGAAAGAAATGCCCCCCCCCAAAAAAAAAAACCGAATGGAGCTGATTTCTTTTTTCAATTTCCAGATTTATTGATATTTTTAATCTGTCACGTCTACTACACATAGTTTAAAAGAAATACTATAATAATCCTGGAATAAAAGTGTTTTTTTTTAGGAAAAACAATTGGCATCTTTCATTTTCATGAAACAGGCGAAACTTTCAAGCCATTTTCTCAAGCTTTTACTTTTGTTCACATGTCGATAAATTGCAAACTTTAACTTGCCTTAACTTGACAGGCCTTAACTTGTCAATGGAATGTCGGATTGAAGCTGGCATTGGCTGGCATTGGCTGATTCGCAGTTGAAAGAAGAGCGGTTATATAATGCATGCATGCACAAGGTGCACTCTTACACGAAAGGGCAATATGTTTCATGCTACAGAGAGAGTTGTTGACTGTCTACACTGGACAAACAATGCTGATGATCTCCCACACGTAGGGACTGAATTTCTCATACAGATTTCAAGAAAAGACGACGCAGATTCTGATGATAGTCCTTTTCATAAAATTCAATTCAAAATGTATTTATGAATGCCAGTGAAAAAATGTCACGACCGCATCGTCTCTGTAAAAACACCTGTTAATTCTGCCGTGACCACGCCCTTTAATTAGCCCATCATAATTGTAATGAAGGTACATTGTACACATTTTGATTAAAATTATAAAAAAAATAAAATAGGAAAATTATGAAATATTTGTGTCTGAAGCTCAATAAAATAAATTATTACTTCTATGATGAGGTCCGCCCATTTATGTCAACAAACACATCGTTGCAAACACGTCTGTTTTGTGATTTTCAAACAATTGTATTTTTTTGTTTTTTAATGTTCCAGTAACTTTACACTCGTGCACATTTCCCAATATTCCTTCCAAAAGCACTGGCGTGTTCTTTAAACATTGTCTGTTGTCCCTCTTGCTGAGATAACTTCAATTTCGGCTCAAGTGTCAAATTTCTATCAAAGCAGGCAAAATGTGTCCTGCCCGTCAATACATCTCTGTCCGTTTTGTGATTCTAGAGACATTCATACTGCAGGGTACGACGTAAACATCTTAGAGTACCAAATGTCTGGTTTCTTTTGGCATACCATAAATTTTATAGTCCTTGAAAGGCCCCTCTTCTGAGTCAGTGTTTTTATTATGTTGTTTAAGTTTGACGTAAGCGTGAAGTTGAGAGTTTTTTTTTTCTGGAAGGGTTCCTTTCAACACTAGCCCAGACGCAGGAAACATGCTACTTATGTAGGAAATGTCCGCAGTTTTGGATTTTATTTTCAGTTTTCTTACTCTGTAGTCATTGATTGTCTGTTTGCTCAGCTGTCCTGTCTCCAGTAATTTCCTAAGACACACTCTGAGGTGTGTAGTAATGTGAGGCCGTTCCTAGACGTTGTACAGCTGAATCAATAGCCATCAACAAAGGTTTAAACCTTTTGTCGTTTATTTGAACCGTGGGCCACATTTGCACACGATCATGTGCAGCATCCTTCAAAATAGACCATTATCATGTTGCGGCCATCTTGATTTTTTTCCATTCAAATCAACGTTACAAAAGCGAGGCAGGAAGGGAAAATAGTCTGGTTCCTTTTTGCACCAAAAACATCATTCCGTATTGTAATAGGATGCAGGGAACATGACTGAAATGGTGGCAGCATGATAGAGGTCTATAAGACCAAGCATGCCTAGTAAAACTGGTCCCAGAGTGCAGAAAATTCTACTTGCTTGAGAAAACGATTCTTCACTCGAAGTGTTTCATGCAAGTTGTCTACAGAATGGGCTGGATGAAGCCCATAATTACACGGTCATGGGAGACTTTTGAGACGTTGGTGACAGCAAACATACCGGTCCTTTTTCAATCGTTATGTCAAGTTTAAGCCAAAGCGCGCATGCTCAGTATGACACAAACAATGGAAAAAGGTCCCGTATGTTTGCTGCCACCAACGTCTCAAAATCTCGCATTGTTAACGCCATGTTTAAGCTAAAGAGCGCATGCTCAATATGACGCAAACAATGAAAAAATGACCTGTGTGTTCACCGCACCAATGTCTCAAAATCCCCGATTGGCATGATGGGGTAATCAGCACTACAGGGTAATTGGTATTATGGGGGAATCCTATACAATAGCACTGCTCGGCTGTCAAATGATAGTCAGTGAGTCTTTTTGTGATAGGTACAAAGATAACACTAGGCTGGCTCTCTGGTACCACCAAACACGCAAGGGGAGACCTTTCTGTCAAGGTGGCCTCTGTCTTTTTAGCAGATGGCCTCTCCCATTAAAGAAGATGGCCGCCACTTATTTTTTCAGTCTAAGTAAACACAACCAGCTGATGTCACCAAATCTAAATATTACAATCGGTTTACAAATTTACCATGTTTATATTTCCACTTGGTCCATCTTAACATACGATGGTTCACAAATAATGGCCACAATATCTGCCCCTTTGCTTGCTCTCTCGAATTTTCAATATAGAACCCAAGTTCCTTACGAGTGCTCTCGTCAAGTTGAACGCCATAAACAAACACGTGGTGCGTTTAAAGTAGCCACCAAACAAACAGTAATAAATGACCCTATAGTTGCCTTCAAATCTAAGAGGGTCCAGGGTCCGTGTGTGTTAAAGGAAAGCTGGCGATGGCTGTAGGGCATCAGGACAACACTCTGAAGTGGGGGTCGTACTGAGTAAACCCTTTAGTCATTTTTATGTCAATAAAACAAGGTCCGCACTCGCTCTTAACTTAAGCAGTATAAATTGTCAGAGAATCCTTTTTTTTAGGGGAACAGGAGCTGGGCGGTCAAGGGGCGGGGCTTGGTGGCAGGGGGTGGGAGGAAAAGATGGCATCAGTTTGATTCAAGAGGACACCCCATGATTGAACACGTTAAGAACAATTTTGACATAGTCATAATTTTCATATAACTTTGTTTTTGAAGCAAAATATACGCAAAATTGAACTAAAAATATATTCTAACATTTTTTGAAGTAAAATCCGAAATGTTTGTCCTATCTTCAAAATGAGCGCAGATTTCTTTTTGAATTGCCCGACTTGGGCCCCCTTGCCAATGTGTTTGAAATGTGTGGTTCCTGCATGCTGACAAGATTCAGCTTCATTTGCCCCTCCCATTTGGTGTCTGGATCCGCCCCCTATATGGAACCCTCCCTGATTGTACTAAGGAACATGTAAATATAACCGCTTCATACCCAAAATTTCAAGGCCGTATTATATTCTCAACGGAAATCACAAGTACAATGTAGGCACTAACTTGACATCCGACCAGAAGTCATTCATGTTATATCTTCATGAAAAGACATTAACATGTTTGCCGCCTGTAAATTACGAGAGAAAAATATAATCATTGTACCGTATTTTTTAATTTCCTGAACTGTGTTTTTTCCTTCTTGTGTCAAAGAATCGTCCCTTGAAACATTCACTCATGTATTGATTATCTTTGTCAATACTATGTGAACAGGGGAGCCAAGCTTTATTGGCTAACTGAACTGTCCAATTGAGGGTTGATCATCACGCACGTGGCGTCGAGCATCGACTCTCACCATCAACCCAACCCTCAACCTCACCCCTCAACCCCACCCTCCGACCCCACCTGTCAATCCCCACCCTCCAACCCCACCCCTCAATCCCACCCCTCAATCCCACCCCTAAATCCCACCCCTCAGCCCCACCCCTCAACCCCTCCCCTCAATTCCCACCCCTCAACCCCACCCTCAATCCCCACCCCTCAAACCCGCCCCTCAAACCCGTCCCTCAACCCCGTCCCTCAACCCCAACCCTCAACCCCAACCCTCAAAACCACCCTTAAAACCCAGGCCTCATACCCACGCCTCTCACCCACCCCTCTCACCCACCCCTCAACCCAACCTACAAACCCACCCCTCAACCCCAACCCTTAAACCCGTCCCTCAACCCCAACCCTCAAACCCACCCCTCAAACCCACCCCTCAACCCCAACCATCAAACCCACCCCTCAACCTCAACCCTCAAGCCGACCCCTCAACCCCACCCCTCAAACCCGTCCTTCAAACCCGTCCCTCAACCCCACCCTCAACCCCAACCCTCAACCCCACCTCCACCCCACCTCCACCCCTCAACTCCACCCTAAAATCCAGACCCTTACCCCCACCCCTCAATCTCAACCCCTCAACCCCACCCTCCCACGAAATCACCTCTTTAATATGGCGTGCCAAGGGTCCTCCTATAGCAAATATGCTGGATGCTCCTAAACTTAAAGAAGCAAATACTATCCAGCTTCAAGTACTTTCGGTAATTTGAAACTGTCAGTATGTTGGATGTACACATGCCAAGTCTTGCCGTAGCGGCTTATTATTCCGTTCGTCCTATTTGCTTTCTGTGTGTATTTTGCGCGGTCGCTGATAGCAGCTCTGTTTACCGACAGGCCTTGTTGATGGTGGCCGAAATTCTAGTCGTGCATTCTCAAGCATGGCCTTTTGGTATCTTAAAGGGAATATACAACATTTGCAAACATCGAAAAATAAAACTACCAAGTTTTTGCGAAATACCTTAATAGGATGTTGGTAAATGACAGTCTAAAGCATCCTGTAAAATTATGGCACCTGGTATACTGTCATTTTCAAGAAAAGTGGTATTTTTGTATCAATTTCCAACGCTGATCGGCCGATCAGCGTTGGAAACAACTGGCTTTTTTTTCAAATACTGGCCCCAATTGACCATTGCACTTGTTTGCAATCGATTACAAACCTATGAACGGGTACGAGCCAGCTAGACTGGTTCCCTGACCTTACAATTCCCCAATATATGTAAACTGCTCTGTTTCTTCTTATATGGAGTCAGGGAACCAGACTACAGGAAAATGATCGTTTTTCTTGGTTTTTATAGCATTTTCGAACCCAAAACCTCCAAAAAGTCAGTGTAACTATATTTGCTTTATATTTCCAACCCCCCAATTCCATCCATTTCTGAAAATTACAGCAAAAGCAAATGATGTATATTCCCTTTAATATTCATTTTAATAATGAAGTGGATTTTTTGTTAATGAATGGAACGACTGCATTGGCGACTTTTTCTGACGTAGTGTGGTGTAACCGTTATCAGTGGTGGGGCTGTGTTGACCGAGATGTGGTGAAATGTACATCGTAAAACATTTAATTTAGGTATTGTTCTTATCCCTTTTGAGCAGCTTAATTAAATTTCTCTGAAACTGCCTCAAAACATATTTCCGCTTTATACGAATGGGAAAGTGATAGTTTTGCTGTTGCTTTTTTTTTTACACAGAATGTGTGTTTGTTTATGCTTTAACATTTACAATTAATACTGAATGTAGCCGTGTCTGTAAATTTAACATATTCGGGGTATTTCAACGCATACTTTGTAATTTTACGATTTGTAAAAATGCAGTGAAATTGTGTTCGTGCTTTGTTCTTTTATGACTGTCGTGTCGTAAATATACAACTTTTTTTGTTCACAAGAATCTGCAAAACGACGGAATAAATCCATATACGGCCTGGCTTTCCACAAGTTTTTTTACTTGATTTTTATAGGCTAAAGGCCTAGCCTAGTCCTGTTCGAGTCCTGATTTTATTGCTGATTGCATGACTGGCATCAATTTTGTTTAATTTGTACGCTGTAAATATTCCATTGCATTTGGTTTATATCTGAATAAAAAGTTTTTTGTTCCAAGGGTCCCATGGAATAGGGGGCTTTCTTGAGGAATTCAGCTCGGGACGGTACTTTTGTCGTTTTTGTCTTATCACGCGGGAAGAATTTCACTCTGGAAATGGGTTTGAACTTGGCGATGAACCGAGTACAGCCAACTATGATACAGCAGTTGACCATCTGAAGAGAAATCCTGAATTAGAAAGTTACACAGGAATCAAATTTGGGTCCTTCAACTCGCTTAAGTACTTTCATGTGTGCTCTCCAGGGCTTCCCCCATGCTTAGGACACGATCTGTTTGAAGGGGTAGTTAAGTTTGACTTGGCCTTGTACTTGAAGTACTTTGTAAAAACCAAATGTTAGCTCACTTATGAGAGATTCAATGAGAGATTAAGACATTTCCAGTGTCTTGGTACAGACAGCTGTAATAAACCACTGAAGTGCAGGTGAGCGGGACTAGTCTTATAGGGGCATGCTG